TCTACCACGGTCCCGGTGCGGGTGGCTCCACCCACGTGGCTTGGCCTACTAGGCGTTCACCTTTTTTCCAAGGCCATGGAAGCCATGTCTACAGAACTTGCTGGTGCGATAGGCAGGGAATGAGAAACGGAATGATAAGCCATCCCTTGTGGTTTCCTTTAAGGGAATCCCTGGGTTCATTCCCACGTTCTCTCTGAGCACCAGCAAGTTCATTGATGACCTCGAACTTCTCAGCTACGGCTTTATTGTGCAATGGGTTCAACACATTGTCTTTGGCCCGATGGGTGCATTGCGCTGCAGAACATGACACGTGTGCACCCGGCCCTGCAGAAGAAGCCTATTCGTAGAATTCAAGACGCTTGCACTTGACCTTTGCGGGGTAACATTTCCTCAGTCGTATGATCACAACTGGCGACCGAGGTGGTGGTGACCCATCACTATGTTGCTGGCGGCGGCGCAGCAGGCGGCGGCGCAGCAGGCGGCGGCGCAGCAGGCGGCGGCGCAGCAGGAGGCGGCGCAGCAGGAGGCGGAAGCTGGCACTCCCACTCCGGCGGCAGCTGGCACTCCGGCGGCGGCGGCAGCTGGCACTCTCATTCCAGCGGCGGCAGCTTTCACTCGCACTCTCACACTCATGTCGTCCAATAGGCGCGGGATTCTTTGACAGAAATTCAGTCCTGCAGTCCAGTGTCATCCTTTGAAGTAGTTGAGCTTCGCAGTCATTTCTGCTTGGTGAGGGCAGCATGTTTTGTGCTGGGGCAGATCGATCATGAAAGCTGGTGGGCACTGGCACCGTCTCCAATTGGTCTGCATCGCCATCGCATGGGATTGTAGCACGACCAAAGCTCCATTTGTTCGACGTGTTCCCCGTATTCTCCGTGGAGTAGGGGAATTTTGGCTCAAAAGCAGGCAGTGGGCAAGATGGGTATCCCGACTGCAAGGAGCAGTAGGTTAGTGTTGCTTCTTTCGGCTGCAGTAGCAGTTGCACAGGATGGGACCTGTGATGCCTCAACGGGGAAGTGCAGCTCTGGTGCAGGTGAACCACATGGTGGAGTCCTTGTAAGTACGGTCGTCGCCAGTGGAGACGAGCAGAAGCTTGTAGCATCTGCAACTGCAACCTTGGAGCTGTCTGAGAGACAGGCCTGCGACGTATCCCTCCTCATCAATGGCGGATTTTCGCCCTTGACCGGCTTCATGACGAAAGCCGACTACACTTCCGTGGTGGAGAACATGCGGCTGGCCTCTGGTCACCTCTTCGGACTGCCTGTAGTCCTGGACGTCAATGACGAGAGCCTGAGAGGGAAGAAGGTGCTGCTGACCTACAAAGGCACCAAGCTCGCGGTGCTGGATGTGGAGGATGTGTGGAAGCCCGACAAGGTGAAGGAGGCACAAGCGTCCTATGGCACCACAAAAGTCGAGCACCCTTCTGTGGCTGAGCTCTTTGCGGACTTGGGCAAGTTCTACGTGGGCGGCAAGGTGCATGGACTGGTGCAAGGCTTTGAGCTGGTGTGGGGCAAGGGGTTCAAGTCGCCTCAGGAGGTGCGGGCCGGGCTGCCGGCCGGAAAGCCGGTGGTGGCTTTCCAGAACCGCAACCCGGTGCACAAGGCGCACTTCGAGCTGTTGGTGCACGCCAACCAGGACGTTAAGGACTCCATCGTTTTGGTCCATCCAACATGTGGACCAACGCAGCCCGGGGACATCGACGGGCCGACACGGATCAAGACCTACGAGGTTTTGCAGCAGGAGCCGGAGTACAAGAAGTGGGCCGGGGAGAACTTCCGGTGGTCCTACCTGCCCTACTCCATGAAGATGGCTGGGCCTAGGGAGGCCATCCAGCACATGATCATCCGCAAGAACTTCGGGGCCACCCACTTCATCATCGGCCGGGACATGGCGGGCACTAAGAGCACCTTGACGTCTGAGGACTTCTATGGCGCCTACGAGGCTCAGGAGATGGGCAAGAAGCATTCCGAGGAGTTGAGCGTGAAGGTTGTGGATTACCCCAACATGGTCTACGTCGGCTCGGAGCACGGCAACGCGCGGGGCTACGCCGCGGATGTGGATGCCAAGGCCAAGGGCGTGAAGGTCAACAAGCTCTCGGGCACTGAGTTCCGGAAGCGGCTCCGGAGCGGGGATGAGATCCCGGAGTGGTTTGCTTTCCCCAAAGTGGTCCAGGTCCTGCGGGAAGGGGGCGACAAGATCTTCCTGTAGAAAAAGCTTCTGGGATTCCGTGAGCCGCAAATCGGCGGCACGCGGATCTAGCCGAGCTGTGCAAAGGAATGCATGGGCACCTCGAGGCTGATTGCTCGTGAGGGCCGAGTTGTTGCATAGCACGCAGCGCGCAATCGTGGCTACCCAAGTGGCTCAAGCATGAGGCACAAAAGGCGACGACTTGTCGCAGCTCGAACGCAGCGGCGTCAGCGGTGTGTTGGAGGGCTGGTTGGCAAGCTGGGCCCATGAGCGCTCTGCCCCTGTCAGGTGCGTGGCTGCCATGCCATCATGAGGTCCAAAGCCAACCACTAACAGGCCGGAGAGCGGGTGGCCGAGGGAGGTCCGCAGTCTTTTGAACCATCGGGGCCTTTCTTTACGAGGCGACGGTTCCTTCTGGCGCCACTTCTTCGCAAAAGGCCGGGAGGCGCCGAAGTTTGGGCTTCAGGACCCGGATGCATACCGGCGGATCGAAGCCGATCCCCCAGCATGGTCGCACCAAAGCCAAAAGCCGGAGATGGGCTCCTCTCGCTAAAACTGGTGCAATCCGATCCCAAAACACACCGCGCAGGGGCAACTTGTGGAAGGTTCGGTCTGAACTGCGTGGCGCTTCTGAGAAGCCGAAGTTCACGTGACTCGCACAGAGTGCATGTCTGCAGGTGTGTGGCCATGTGCCTTGAGTCTTCACTCCTCCTGCACTGAGCAACTCGTTTCACTGTCAGAGCTGCCAACAGCCCTTCACAGCTGCTCTGGGCTTAGAGGTGGACAGCCAAGATGCAACAGACAGAAACTTGTGTTGCTTGTTTGCCTTCTAGGGGGTTTGGAGTAGCTTCTGCTGGGATCAAGTTGGCGGGCAATGAAACATGTTTGAACAACAAGACACGAATGGGTGATGGGTGTGTCTTTTGTTGGGGGACCACACAATTTTGCCTTTTGCTCCTTCCCCCCCGAGGAAAGCACAAAAACCACGAGCCCCAAAAAATCAGACCCAAGTGGCAACATGAACGTCTTGCGGCTTCCAGGTGTCGAGAGAAAGGGCAACCTCTCAGGGCCCATGAACAAAAGGAAAACGCAAGTGGGACCATTCTTTCAGCGTCGAATGATTTTTCGTTGCTTTCTTGTAATGTGATTTGGATCCTGAAAAAATTGCTTGAATTCACGCAATCTAATTCTTCGAGTGTGTCTTGGATTAGGGTATCCTAGGGTTTCTTTCGAGGCTTTTGTGCCACTGCAGTTCCCCTTTTGAGAAGGTGTCTTTTTTTGGGTACCCCTTTGTTGGTGGTTTTAAAGGAACACCAAAAGGACAACCGCCATTTTAGGGTGTGCCAGCAAAAAAAGAGAGACACGTGTGTCCTCATTGGCCAGAGGCAAGTTGCTGGAACGTGGCAGACAAGAACCACCCAGCTCAGAGCCGCTGTGTAGAGCATTTGTAGACTGTCCTGGGGAGAGGCAGAGAACACGAAGATTGAGAAGGCCAGAGCGAAACGTGTGCGCGACTCCCCAGGCTCTCTCTCTCTCAACTTGCATTCGCTGGTGGGGGGTTTGCATCACAGATTCCCGACGCGGCTTGGGCGGGCGACTGGTTCTGTTCGAAAGAACCTTTACCAGCGCTGCACGGAGCTCAAAACGACAAAGTTCGGAGCTCAACGGGAGGGCCGGTGGCGCTCTCCTCTCGTTTCGGTCTTCGGTTTGTTCCACTTTGGACGTTGTTTTTCTTCTTATTTTTTTCTCAAAATCATTTGGGGGTTGCGGGCCTTCGCCTGAAGCCCCAAGAGGAGAGATGCAGCTCTGGCTGTCCCGTCGGCGTCTTTGGTACCCGGACTGTCAGACCAAAGGGGGTCTGCACCTTGGCCTGTGGCTTGCAGAAAAAGCTGTGGTCAGAGAGCGGTTTGGCCATCGGAGCGGCAGGGTCGATGGTTTGGGCCTGTTGACAGTTGCCAGTGCCCACAGGTCTGGTTTCTTCGGTTTACTCTGGAAGAAAGCGGTTCCATGTTGAAAGCTGGACGATTCGAGGCTGACAAGCGTTGCCGCAACGCGCCTTTTGGCTCATTCAGCTTTAAAGCTAGCTGCTGGACATTGACAACAGGCGCCGGTTTTCTCGGATGGCACCATTTTCACAGGAACCTATTCACATCCGCGCGTCGGAGATTTGCGGATTCCAGGGGTTCCTTCGTGACATTGGATGAACCACGTGCCAACTTTGAGCCGTCTGAGCTGAAGCAAGGTAAAGATGGCTCGGTCCAAAAAGCGTGGAACATCTGCGACCGAACTCAGATCTTTTTTTGCTGGGCAATCGCTAACCCCTGGGGAAATTTGTGGCCAGTGAGCTCGTTGCCAGACTGCCAGACGTGTCTGCTCGCATAGAACAGATGAGCCCAGCAAGCACCGGCCATCTTAGGGAGGTGAGACCAGCGAAAAAAGTGACATTGATAGCTTTCGTTCCCTCTTCTCAGGCAACTCCATTGGTTTGGAAGAAGTAAACAAAGCAGTTTGCAGCGGAACGAGCGTTTATTTTTATCGATTGACCACTCCTGTTTGGTGTGAACTTGACATGCACTCGACTCCAGCGCTGTCAAACTTAAGAGCAAGAGGATCGTGTTTCATAGCTTTTGGGCGCGAGGTCCTTCGTTTTTGGGCGAGATGCTGGCTGGGCGCTCAGTCGAGAAGCCGAGATTTGGAGGCCAGGGGCCCTTTGAGGGGTCAGGGGCACATGCGCCAGGGTCAGGATGAGACGCCGGCATCTCGCAAGGATGGTGTCACCAATTGGAAGACTCTGCATGCTTCTCTTGCGTTCCATGGACTGCAGCTGATTTGGGACACGCCTGGCCCCAGTCACAATCCTGTCGCTCAGAGTCATTTGAGTACCATTTGTTGACATATCATCATTATCCAGATTTCACCTTCGGTTCTTTAGATTTCTGAGCCGTAGGGCATTCACGATCCAACACTGAGCAATCCAAGTCTTCGAACCAACCTAATTGAGAACCCGTCACAAGGACGGTCATTCCATTTCTCATTCCCTGCCTATCGCGGTTCCCAAAAGCCAGGTCAGTTTCCCTTTTGATTTGCCCTTTGAACCACCCCAAAAGTGGATCGCCTTCCACAAAAGGCGCCATCGACCCGCCTCGCGCACTGAGTGTGGTGGTAGCATCAGCGGTGGCACCGGCTACAAGGGGGGAGTTGGTGGTGGCGGCGGTGGCGGCGGCGGTGGCGGCTATGCGGGTGGCGGTGCCGCTGGCGGCGGAGGTGATTGGTGGGGCATGCGGGAGAATCCTAAGCCCTCAAATCGGTTTGGATACGCTTTTTGTTGATTTCGCCTGTTCTTTCCCCTGTAGGTTCCTTTTTCGTACACTGTTACTCTTTTGATCTCCTACAGGGGTGGGTCCACGAAAGCCACGTCCGACCGTTTTCTAGACGAAGTGTGATGTGCCATTGACAAGACTCGCAACACTTCAGCCAAAGGACTCCGTATGCCAGCGGTGCGCTTTCAAGTAGGAGAAAAGTCCATGCATCAGCATTGTGCAGCTTGAAGCCTTATTTGGACTTCAAGCTGTACAAAGACGGAGACATGCTTCAACTGAGCAGTTGAGTTTGGGGAATCCCATGGAGCCGCTAAAAGGGTTGGTACATGGAATACGTCTTGGTTTATCCAAATGCTTGCATTTGGTACATGGAATACGTCTTGGTACACGGGGTTTGGGGAGTTCAGTTCGCAAGCCACCATTGCCACCATCAAAACCCCCGCCTTGCGCTGATCGGGGCCGCTGGCCTGAGGATTTTTCGGATCGATCCTTCCCTTTTGCCAGGCGGGGGCCTGTTCGGCGCCTTGGCTATGGGCAGAGGGGGTCTTCTGCGGCGCAGAAGTAAAAACCTGGACGCCCGTTTTGATGGCGCGTTGCTGCATAAGACGACTGACATGGAAACAGAGAGCCGCACATGTTGTGTAGATTTGTCGCACACATTTAGGAACCCTCCCGGCTTTTGCTCCGTGGCTTCGGCTGCCTGAGGCCTCTTCTACGCCCGAGAAGAAGTCGGCACCGAGGAGCGCTTGGTGCACGTTGGTGCCGGTCCAGGGCTCGGACTGGGCTGAGCGATCGGACGAAGCATTGGTCGGGGTAGCCAAGTGACTCGGTCAGATTGGACTCGTCCATGATTTCTGGATGAACCTCTCAACAGCGCTTGGTGGACATAAATCCCCATGTGAAGTCATGTTCACCATGTTCGTCGAATGGCTGTGGGACAAAACCCATTTTGGGGCACCCATTTTAGTCGATTTTAGTGGGGATTGGGATGTTTACTGGGGGGTTTGAGTCATGCCCTAGGCAACGGCTACATGGAGGAGCGCATGGTGGAGGTTGGCGCAGGCCATTTGAAGCGGCGCCCTCCCAAACAGACCCAGACACAAACACAGACAAATACACGCACCGAAGCATGCACAAGCCTCGGTGGCTCGCAGCCATCCGGTTCCTTAGCTTAGCCTTTTAGTGTTTAGTGGTAGTTTCCATCTAACCCACCAAAAGTGAAACTTGCGGGGGATCTGAGGGCAGCCCAGAAACGCAGCCATCACACACACAAACACAACATCTCACAACCACGCTCAAATAAACACGCAAACTAACACACAAACACGACAAACAGACACACAGACAAACATACAAACAAGCCAACAAGCAAACAAACAAGCCATCAAGCAACCAGATGAACAAACACACAAGCAAGCAAACAAGCAAGCAAACAAGCAAGCAAGACGCAAGCAAACAAGCAACAAAGACACACCAGCAAACACGCAAGCAGACAAGCAAACACACAAACATACAACCACACAAACAAACAAACACACGAACACACAAACACAAGCATGCAAACCAACGAGCAAGCAAGCAAACAAGCAAACAAGCAACCAAATAAACAATCAATAAAGCCACCAAACAAGCTGGCAAGCAAAAGCAAGCAAACAAGCAAACAAACAAACACACCAACATACAAACACACAAGCAGACCAGCAAACACAAATATACAAACACATAAACAAACGAATACACAACCACAACCATGCAAACCAATAAGCAAGCAAGCAAGCAAGCAAGCAAGCAAGCAAGCAAGCAAGCAGGCAGGCAGGCAGGCAGGCAGGCAGGCAAGCAAGCAAGCAAGCAATCAAGCAATCAATCAAGCAAGCAAGCAAGCAGCAAAACACGCATCCAAACACACACGGGGCCTCTAGGAGGGTTTCCACCACCCGATACCACTCCCCCCTTACTGTATAAAGTTGGTATATACTCGACTGCATTCCCTTGAACTGCCCTGCAGTGGCACACATCCAGCACATTGGTTGTCCATACTGTCATGACCTTTTGAACGACCAGTGGTCAGCAACTTGATGTTGATCGTTTCAGATTTCGTCATGTACATGAGTTGAAGAATATGGTGTTGCAAAGCACGCCAGCTACACATGTTTTGAATGCTGAATCCATAGTCCACGGCATCAAACTAGGCGTTAATCATTCAAGCTTGTCTTTGGAATCTTCTGGGAAGGTGGACATAGTAAAGCACCGCTTGCGGGATCTGGGAAAAATGCCGCATGAAAATATATGCCTCCGGGCTTCTGACTTGGGCTCGCTTCCGCCCCTTCCGGCCAGGCATGGGCTCCTATGCCAAGGATGTGAAGGTGAACTATGCCTACAAGCCAAGCCCTGGGTTGCTGGGTTGCTGGGTTGCTGGGTTGCTGGCTTGGGTTGACAGATCTTGAAACAACCGCAGGGAGAGAGAGAGAGAGAGAGAGAGAGAGAGCGGCTCTTTCGCGTTCCGGCGACTTTCTTTTGGTCTCTCAGGCCCCGCGTCGCAATGCTTTCCTGCTGCTGCTTGCTTTGCTGCTCGGCGCAAGCAAGAAACCCAAGCTTGATGTGACTCAAATCAGCGGACCAAAATGGCACCTTGGCAAATGGAAGCAAAGACAAGCACCTGCGCAACCCTAGCTCTTTAATTTGGAGCCACACCCATGTTCTTGCAACGAAGGACAGCCATTCTACCGCACTTGACAGGAGATGGGCCAATGTGATTTTCCATTCACCTCAACACCTGTATTTTTCTAATTAATCATGTAAACCACCCCCAAGACAAGGTGCCAAGCTCAAGGGCATGGGCCCCTGCAATATTCCTACATCGTGCAGGATGAATCCCACTTTACGCTGCGCTGAAGCTATTTGGGTGTGTCTCAGAATAGGGAACCCAAATAGTTGATGGTGTTCCTTTTGGTTTCCCCCTCAAGCCGTCCCAGAATGGAAGCCATCAAAACCACACCCGCACACACACACACACACCCACCTTATGTTTTTTTTCTTTCCTCCAACAGCTGAAAGCTTTAGGGTCTCAGCCCATGTAGGCTCTGGGGTGGTCCGGGGTGGCCTTGAGGTAAGGTTCCACGAGGTTTCCACACAAAGACAACGAACCATTTTCAAGCCCCTGCCTGTTACACCATCGCTGCTTTAAGCAGTGATTTTGTTTCAGTTCTTTTCAGACAAGCTGACTATCAAACCAGAGACTAGCCTAAATCTTTGGTTTCACCAAAGCGATGGGCCAATGTCTTCATGCGAAACAAAGTGACTTCTGAAGGCCCCCCAGTGAGACGAAAGGACACGCAGATTCCAAGGATCCAATTGACCGCCCGCTTTGGGTTTCGGCCCCGAGAGAGCCTGAATCGCTTTTCCACTTTTGATCTCGGCTTGGAATTCATTTTTTTTTGGTTCATTGGTGAGCCAAATCAAAATCAAGGAGCAGCTCAGACTCGGCTATGATCAAGGGCTGTAAGGCCTTGTGGACATCCAAGGCCTCCTGCCGCTGCTGCTCTTCATTTGCGAGGCAACGGCTTCCGCGTTTTGTGCTTCGCCACAATGGACAGTCTGGCCCTGCACGTGCGGTGCATTCAGCAAACTGCCTGCCCTCCCGAATTTGGCGGTCTTGGGGGCCATGGGAGGCTTCGGTGCGCGCTGCAAGATGGGAGGTCCCAAAGTGGGTCGGTCGTTTGAGGGTACACACTTTCCGGTGGTTTTGAAGGGAAACAGGAAACCCATAGCTGCCAGGTTCGGTCCCTCTTCAGCGGCGAGAGCTGTTCAGCCGCGCCGGGAGCACCCAGAAAAATAAGGATGCTGGATGAAACGAGCCAGAGACCTGAGCCACGTCCTCAAAGCCCGGGTAGATGAACGTTCGTAAGGGACAATCCCAACCATAAATAGTTGCGGATATCCGCCTTCTTCATTCTTGAAGCATGGTTCTGGGATTACGACCATTTTGATACCGGGTTTTGATTATGACCCACGTGCGTTCGGCTTGACACAGCGGTGTCTGAGTTGCTGAAACCCGAACTCGGGGGAAATCAGGCCTACACAGGCTTGTGGGTATGAAGATCGCAATGCAGCGGGACTTCATGGCTCAAATCATAGTTTCATGTTCGTCAAAGCATGACCCTCCGCAGTTGCTATTTGGCTAGCATCCGTGATTGAAGTGTCGTATTAGGTGGAAAGCGAATGTGCTGTCATCCGTTCCTGCTACAGTTTGCCAGCGTTGGCCAGGCTGCTTGCAAGACAGAAGAAACGGGCTAAATCCCACACCCAACCATACTTCCCGCGAGAGACGTGCAGCGTTCTTTTTTTTGATGTAGCACCAACTTTGTCATCGGCTTGAGCCGAATCCCTAGACAATAGGCCCCAACCCCAGTCTTGCATTCTCTGAGGAGAGCCGATGAGTGCAGTGGACGCTGGGCGAAAGGGGCCGGGTTTTGAGGTTTGACTTGTGGTATCTCGTGATAGCCGGTGGGTGAGACAAATAGGGAGCAACCAAAATGGCTGCTTGGTTTCCCTATTTTTTTTTTTTAAATATATATATATATATATATATATGTTTTTTTTTTTCTCCCACAAAGACACACCCAGGTGGTATTTAAACAATACAAGCATTTGTGCACAGGGTCAAATGAATGGACTGTAGTCGTCAACAGGCGGCGGCCGCGATGTTCTGGAACACAGCACATTCTTGACATCAGTCCATGGCACACTGGGTTAAAGGTTGCCAAGGTCGCAGGTGACTACATGAGTTCATGGGACAATTCTTTGGTTTCAGGCTGTTGTGCAGAGCTCCAGGTCCGATGAGTAAGTGACACTATCACTTATTAACTTATTACTATTCTTGGTAGTCTGTTGGGTTTGGGGGGGACACGAGACTTTCAAAGTCTGCCATGCTGTTTGGGGGCTCGCGCGCATGTGCTCAATCCAAAGGGCCCGCCTGTCAGCCAAGGTTGCTATGATGCTGCGCGGGCTCCAAATGATTTCCTGAGAGTGAGAGAGAGAGAGGTGCCTGCTAATGTCATGGGTGTCTTTTGTTGAGGTTGCCCGTTTCAAACCACAAATTTGTGGGGTTTTCCCAAGTGGAGACACCTCCCCCGATCCTTGGTGGATATCAAGCTCCGACGCTGATATTGCTTTGCATGCCGTGTTCGGAGCCGCCCTCCCTTTCAGCTCCTCTGACGTGATCGCTCCAAGCTGGTTCCATGTTGGCGTGACACCTTGGCGACCCGCACCTGGTTTGGCTTCCGGATACACTGCTTCGTCTTCCCATTGGATACACTCCCAGTCTTTTTCCACGCAGCCGCGCTGACCACTCCCTGACTCCGCCTCCACCGCTCTTCCGATCGCTTGTGAGAGAGGCAGACACCAAGAGCTACTTGGGCACCGCGCCAAACACATTTGCTGACATACAAACACATTTGCTGTGATTTGTTTGGCTTCCGCTCTTGTGCAATGTTTTGCTGGTTTGTCAAGGCGAAACCACGCATTTGAACAGCTGTGGAAAAGTGTTGCAACCGTCCCTTTTGTCCAAGTTTCACAATTGACCCCTGTTGATATTTTTATTCTCAGATTGCGGGTCACTTGAGCTGCAACAGACTCACGGCGCGTTTGAGGGTTTGACGCGAATCAGCAAGCACCGATTCGAGTTTGGTAGACGAATAGGCATTCTGTGTATTTCTGTGAGCTTGACAGTGCTGTTCCTTTTGCGATCCGCCCGAATCTGATGTTGCTTTTGCATTTGCCCCAGGCTACCAATTCGCAGAGTGTGCAAGTGCTGCCTGAAGATGTTCCTCTCCCCGACGGAGCAACCTTGAACTGGGCACCTCCCTGTATGGAGCTGACTCTTTGGGAGCAGACTCCTAAGTTTGTGACACCCGTGGACCCTTTCTTTCTTTCTTTCTTCCTTCCTTCCTTCCTTCTTTCTTTCTTTCTTTCTTTCTTTCTTTCCTTTTTTTTTGTTTCTTTCTTTCTTTCCGATCCCAACTCTTTGCTCAGAATGCTCATCCTCTTGCGTCCGCATCCGCAAGGCCACCGCAGATGCGCAGTTCTGCTGCGCTAGCTGCCCTGCGGCCGCCTACTCGGTCTCGCTGTGCGCGCCGGAGGCGCGGGAAAGCTGGGGCTTGCGGCTGGCGGCCACGGATTTCTTTGTTTTTTCCGTAAGGGGGCTTCAGCTGTCAGAGGATACTGCCCCAAAGACTTGCGCGGCTCTCAATGCCTGAAGGGTTTTGCACCTGAAGGGATTTCAATCACCCTCTCTTTCCTGCGTGCAGTGAGAGGGATATCAGGTGACGCTTTGCGTGCCGTCACGCAGCTTCATGGCGCGAAATGAAGTGAATTGGCTGTTTTCATCGACGACAGAGTCTTGACCAAAGCGGCTTGTTGTATGTTTATGTCAATGCGACAAGTTAAGAACGATACTCGACGTTGTGTTGCTAAGCTGCTAGGATGTGTTTTGCGCTTTTTTGGTTCTCACTAGTCGGGACCCGTCGGAGTGAAACAATTCGCTTCAGGAGCCGAAAGTCCACGACATCGTTCGCCACCACTACGGCACGGTCTACAGGACCCTGGGACCCGACGGTCGACGTGGGTTGGTAGCCTTTTGGATTTGGATCTTGTAGGCTGGTCCTGGAGGTTGCCCATGGGAACTCCTTAACCACCGGGCTCCAAACCACCAACTAAGAGGAAGCTGAGTTTGGGAGCACTTGACGCGCCCAGAGAGGCGCCCCTTCGGCTGTTTTCCTTTGCGAGGGCTTGGGAACTTGCTTGCGCCCTTCGGATTCCTGATGCCTTGCTGGAAGCTTCGCTGCAGGCACATTCCAGTGAACCACTATGAAGCTCGGCATTGCAGGGTGGGGTGGAGACTGGCACCTTTTTCCGTTTTTTGCCCTGATGTACTTACTAGGAAGCTTTGTGAGTGCAGGCGCCATCGGAATTCGGCATCAAGCAGTGCTTTGGTAGGTTGAATGGTGTTGTTCCTTTAAAAAATGCTTGCCGTCCTGTTCGGAACACACTCGGAAATGATTAATTCCTTTGTCAATCGGCAGCACAATCTTTTTGCTATCCCATCATGCATTCGAGATCATTCTATGTGCCCTCAGGGCTAAGTGACTGGAGTCGAATAGCTCTCCACAGGCAACCCTGAACAAAAACCAGCATACTCGTTCACAGCCACCGCTCTTCCGGGCCAAGTTTGTCCAGTTCCACTCCTCATTGCAGCCCCACCTCCCTCAGCTTGCGCAATCACAGAGCCATCCAACTGTTTGCGACTTCAGAGGCCACATGAGACCAGCCCAAAAAACATCCAAATATTATTGAATTTGGCTAGACATGTGTATCAGGAACCACCTCAAAAGTGATTGGTGGATGAATCCCCATGTGCACCAATGGGTCTCCAATTCAAAATTATATCCGCGCCGTTAAATATATTGCATCCCACATCCGCTCGCGAACTCAGGTGAAGGTGCAGATGCCGCCGCATGCGCCCATCATCCACACCGTGAAAGTGGTGGCCAGGGTCCCGAGTCCATGATCGATTCGGATCTACGGTGTTCCGTCTGGGGAGTTGGGGGTTGATCAATATTACTGGCCTCCAAATGACCATGGGTAGCTTTTCCCATTTCTTGGGACATATCGTCTTTGTAATAGTTTTGCCCAATCATCATCCCATGTTTCTGGGACCTTTTGTCAGCCCCCACATTGGGTCCTGTTGGGTGGTTGGAGGTCTTGCCTCAGAATGCGTTCGCTCAGGAACCGCCGACGCACTATGAGTGCGCCAGCCACGCAGAGACCCCAAACCCGGAGTGGACCTCCAAGCATATTCGGTGGTGCTGCTACGAGCACAAGATGGTGTGGGGTCTCAGAGTTCAGGTGGTGTCTTTTTTGGCTTCACTCATCTCCCTCTCAGGGCACAGGTTGATTTAGTGCCTGAAGCGATTTGCCACGCTTGTGCATGGTTGCAAAAGAGATTTCATAAACGGTTTTCAAGCCTAGCCACTAGGATGATGGATAGGCGCATGTTCATCACTCCATCAGGGGCTGAATGCCAAACCAAACGACCCCAGAAGTTGCTTGGTTGCTGCTCGCAAATCCCTGGCCATTCCGCATGGGATATGGGATGGCAGAATATGGTTGTTCAAAAAGGGGATGCGTCTCTTAGTCCATTTGTGAGCTTCTTCGTGGGATTTTTCATTGGCGTCGAAAGACCCTGCCGCGTCCCAGTTCTGCCCTGTGTCTGTGGTGGACAAGAACATCTACCACCACATCACCAAGGTGCAGCAGCTTGGCCCGCAAAGTGAACACACCGACGCAACGGGGGACGAGGCATGGCTATTGCGCAGGATAGATGATGCCAACACTGAGAGAAGCGAGAGGGACATCAGTCAGTAACATGCCCTCAGGTATGATGTCATATAGTTTGAGACAGAGGCTTGCTCTAAAGAGCTCCCCGAGTTGAAGACCAACGGCCTGAAACGGCCTGGTTCTCCCCACTGCTGGTGCTCTCTTGAGCCGAAGGGACATGGGGCACAAAGCTCGCAGCGGAGTCGCGGTCGCGGGGGGAGGGGCCAAGGGGCCTCTGAAGTCCGAAGGCAGTACCGCGTGCCGGTGCCGGTGCCCATGCCCGCGCATCACCCGGTGCCCTGGCCAGGACGTTTAATTGACCCCCAGCCTGAGGCATAGATGTAGACGCGTGGATTGATCACCCTGCAAGCTTGTCATAGAGCAAAATCGCGAGCTGCGTCACCCCATGTCGTAGGGCTGTATTCTTGCAAGCCCTCACTCGATTGTACCACTTTTTATGTGCCAGACCATCACAGCGCTCCAAAGGCATGCCATGCAACCAAGCCGAAGCCCAAAGCCGTTACTAAGATGAGATTGTCTCAAGTGGGGGTGATGCTTGTAGGAACATACTACTGGAGCTTGATTGTCACGTAGATGAATTCCATAAACATGCTCAGAGGTCTGTCATGCGGATCAGGGTGCGCTGGTTCGAAAGCAGATGCCAAAGGGAAGCGAGAGCCACTACATCAAGATGATGCAGTGTTTTTGCGTCGGCCACTTTTTGATTACATTTCTGCGAGCCCAGATCATCCACACCGTGACGCACCAGTACCACGTGCCAAGCCCACCCCAGTATGTGCATGTGCACGTGCCTGGGCCAACTGTGTATCACCACGTGGGGAAGCCCAGAGTGTCGACGTTGGTTTGTCGCTTTCGGCGATCAGTGCCTTTTTTTCAATTTCAGCGCTAAACGCTGCCCACATGATGCACCCGTCCATGTGCGGGTTGATCAAAGGTCCTTACATAGGATGACCATTGGTGGGACAAGGTATGCTCAAAACCGGGGGCCCTAAATGGAAGATTGATCAACCATCCCACAGACGACAACGTTTCGCCGTTGCAGCACGCCGCGACTCCGTGACTCCGTGACTCGCGCGAAGCTTATGGCCCCAGACACCATAGCCCTCGTGATAGGTGAACGTGCCGGTGGACGTGCCCTATCCGGTGCCGCAGGCGCCCGAGGCCAGGATTTGGGCCCACTGGGCGGTTTCCTGTCGCCCAGTGGCGGTTTCAAGGAGCCTGTGGAGAATTTCTTTGGATCCTGTGACCCAACTTGGAAAAGCAAAAAAGCATGGAGAAAGGGAGACCCAACTTTGGACGCAAATGGATGGAGCAAGGGAGTTCGTCAAGCCGGTAGGTGATCAATGTGAAGAAAGAGTACCCAGTACCGGTCCCTGGCCACAGACTCTCGGCTGCAAAACCGGGGCGGAAGGTTTGGTGTTTGCGATCGGTGGGTTTACTCTCTTTGGCCTTGGTGAAAGTTCTCAATTGGCACTTGGAGTTCGCAATTGGCAGTTTGATGATGCAGTTTGAGAGTTGGAAGCGCCTCAAAAGTGGGTGGTTGGACATGAATCCCCACCTAAATTAAATGATGTCCACCAAGGGGCCCATAAAGTAACATTCATACTCAGCAGTGCTTGATACACTGCAGAGCAACTCCCGCTGAGCCCACTACGTGCACGTGCCGGTGCCGTCGCCGCCCCATGTCGTCACGCACTACCACACTGTGTGGAACACCGTGCAGGACACGACCTATGAGCCTTGGACAGGTTGGCGTGTGAATGCCCTGGGAGTGGAGGGGCAGGTTGGATGGGAGCTTGATCATGGTGAGGCTGGATGCGCGAATGTTCACGCCATGCGATTCTTTGGCTTGACACGGCCTTGGAGCAGACGAGGATTGCCACAGCGGCGTGGACCACTGGCACAGCATTTGGTCGCACACGAAGCAACTTGTACAAGACATGTGGCAGTTTTGTAGTCAAAGGGCTGAGCCCCCAACACCCGCCATTGGCCATGTAAAGCTCTACTTGGCTTCATGGGGTGAGCAAGGCTGGTAACTTTTATATCCATGTTAGAACCAAAGGTCAATAGGTTTTGGGCGCTCATTTGCCGGAGTCGTGGTACGCAGTTGGACAGACGGCCCTGCCGCCAGCTTGCCTGCGTGCCGTAAATTGCCGCGCAGATGGCCTCTATCTCGCAAGGAAGCAATTGGCAACTTAGACGCCCCTCAAACAGGAGTGTCCTCCACATTGAGATGCCCCCGAAGCAGCATTTAGATGTTACAATTTCAGGCAGAGCTGGTGCTGCGGTCATTACAACGTGGGCTGCGCTGGCAGCTGGGTCAAGGAGGTGCATGTGATCCACACGACACACTACGTGGCTTGGCGAGGCATGCCAGAGCTTTGTATGCTACGCACCCAGGCCAGAAGTCAACTCCAGATGATTTGCTTCAGGATCAACGCAAGTCCGTGCTAGTCCTTGACAGTGCCGCCAACGCAAATAGGCCCTTGTGAATCTGACCACTCCCTTGCCAATGGCCTTCTCGAAGATCTTGGGATCTTGAACAGGTTTGGTTGCCACGTCAGCCTGGGCATGCCAGCATGTGTGCTCTAAGAACTGTGCTGCTGGCTACTCCAACTGGTACCATGGCTGGTCTGACGCGAAGAAGGGCTGGTGCTGCGTGCGGCCGGCAAAGTTGAGGTTGAGTGATGCAATTGTCCTGCCCGCACCTTGCCCGACTCTTGGCAGTTTCCAGGTTGCTTGAGTTGCTCTGTTCTGACAAGCGGTGAGGTGCTAAACATTGGGATTTGAGAATTATTCTGGCATGCTTGCAACATGCAGGGGGCATTGTTCGACTCACCCAAAATGGCTTCTGAGCGTTACTTACCTACACAGATTCTAGCTGCCGCGACCATTAGAAGAATATTTGCTCACAGAACCTCTGCCATCTCAAAGATCAGTCTTTCAAGCGAGCACAGCTTGACCTGCTCTCTGAGACTCTGCCAGGACCATGAGAACAGGGGCTGCCCAGGAAGCTGGCACGGCCACTGGCACGCACATGCGGCAGCTTGGCCCAGGTTTGATTGCTTGGTGGTTGGAAAACAAACGGGTCGGTAGTCGGAGCGGCGTGCTCTGCTAGTGTGACCTTGTTTGCCTGCATTCAAAAGCGACCCGGGATCTCGTACAGTACTTAACTGGTTGCAGGGTGATATCGTTGCGTGGCAAGCTTGGCAACGATGGCTATGGAGTGGAGGGAATCACATGGACTGGTGATGCTCAAGTGGCTTGACGCTTATACAGCTCAGGTCGTCCACGTGGAGCACGGCGTCCATGTTGGCCACGGCGGTTACGACTGCGCCGCTGGCGTCTCCAACTGGGAGCAGGGCTGGTCGCTTTGGCCAGATCTAGTTTGACATGGCATGGACTGCCGGCTTGGCTGACGCCTTCTGAATTCCGCAGCTTTTTCAAGGCAAAGTGCTCAACGACAGATCAGCTTAGCAGCTTGCTGTCTGGGATCTGTTTGACAGCTTTGCGGCTTGCAGCTTGCTCGGAGGTCTGCCCACAAGAAGGACTTCTGCTGTAAGACCAGCGACCACAAGTTCTGCGTGGAGTACCACTGCCGCGGCGAGGGTGCGGGCGCCGGAGACTCAGAGACCCATGGGCCAACCCCGGGGCATTGGGGGCGCAGGGACTGGATCCCTGCGGTTTTTAGGCGAGCCATGCAGTGGGAGGCGAGCAGAGTTAGTTGAAGGTCACAAAGGGGTATGAAGTTCAAGAAGGGACCCTTTGGTGGACATCATTTTGGTGAGGATTCATGTCCCATCAATCACTTTTGAGGTTCCCCATGGCCAATTGACGATGATACCAAGGCCTAGTGCAACTCATGGTTGGGCTCAGACCCCCAAGCAAGAGTTACCCCGGATCACAGCGCGTCGTGAGTCCTGGTTGGATGGCATTTGGCAGTGGTGAGATCCCTGTTTGGGCACATGGCGTTTCAGCTTCCGGAACCAGGTGCTGTTCAAGACGAGTTAAACCGGCCAAAAAGTATAGAGGCCCCGATTAGATGAAGGCATCCATGTCCAAGTGCCCAAGATTTCTTCCGCTTGCGCTGGTTGAGGCACCAGTCAACGTTCCGTTCTGTTGGTTGTCCGCCGGAAAGGGTTCACGGATCTGAGCTTGACGGCTGAGGCAGTGCACTCCTGGTCCAAGGACAAGAGCCCGGCGCCCAGGAGGTTTGCTTTTTCTGTGTTTCGGTTAGGATGCGAAGAAACACAAATTCGTGACAGCGTGCCACACAAAACGGGGGGTGGGTTCTCTCGCGGCGGTCAGATCGCACTAGATGCTTGAGACCTTTCGGGCCAGCCGCGAGTGGAAGAAGTTTCGGAGAGAGCTTCCGGCGCGGAGAGCCAGCGTCGCCTCAGGCGACTTCTGCTGCGGCCATTTCCAAGTGGGATGCCCGGCAACGACTCTGTCCCCGCTGGGCTGCGAGGCCTTTCCCATCCTCCCCCCCAACAACCCCTCACCCACCCAACCACTCTGCAACAAAACCCGCACAACCACCCCAAGGGAGCTGCCACAGTACGATTCTTCCCCGAAGAATGGAGCTCCTTTCTGCACGGATTGTGAGGACAATCACGCTTCTTCCGTGATTGGGGAGATGTCTGAAATTTGAGCGCCCAGTACTTGTAGCTTTTCAAAGAGGACGAAACGTGAGGACGACTCTCCTCATGTCCCACGTTTGAAACTGAGGCGTTCGCAACCAACGTATGGAGCTTCTCAAATGTGCGGACCCCGCCTAGGTATTTAAGGAAAGCCAAAAGGAAGGTTTAGCCATGGGGGGAGACCCCCATTTGGGTTGGCCTCTTTTTTTCTTGGGAATCCCTTGTTTTTTTTTGTTTCCATCGCAGTTTTGAAGGAAGGCCAAAAGGAAAGCCCCACACAATTTGGTTGGGTCCCCTAAGAGGCAAACCGATTTTGGGTTTCATCCACCTATGTGGCGTGCGAAGCAAAGCGGACATCGCCGGAGACTTGGCAGGCGCAATGCACGGTGAATGGAGAGACCAGCACCTGCAATGCGCGCATTCAGTGGGCCCAGGCGCGCCGCGTTGGTTGCTTTAAAGGGAGGCCAAAAGCAAACCACCCAGATTTTTAGGGCCCACATTTTAAGAGACACCCACTTGTCTCCAAATGGGGGAACCCTCAAAATGAATGGGTTGCTCTCCCCTGAGAACCTCAATCCAGCAGGGCATTCTTCTTTCGAGTTTGGGGCCGTTTGTCGTAGCGTACGGGGCGATTTGCAAGAATCCATCAGGAGAATTCCTTCTCCGGCAAGAGCAACGCCTGCAACCTCGCTTACAGCCAGATCCAGGCTGGGACCTGTCTTCTGGGCGTGACAAGCAGCTTTGGGGTCAGCTCAGGTGGAATGCGACGTGTGCCGCGCGTGCAGCGTCCAGGCAACGCCGGGTTTGCCGGGCTCCTTTGGGAGTGGTCTTTGCCGTCAAAGATCGGCTTTCTTGATGGAGATTTGAAAGGGGCACTCAGCCTGTGGATTCTTAAGAGAACCATGATCTCGCACCAACAACTTTGAACCTGGAAGCTATATCTTCAGGTTATGAGCATTGAATGGAAGCGGCATCACTGCCACTGCTTGGATGGCAAAAGGCCAGGTCGAGTCTGGACCAGAGATATCTCGCTGGCGGACCTGGAGCCGTTTCGTGTTTGGGTGTTTGGGTTTCGCCGCTGAGCACAATCTTGCAGGGCCTCCGGAAGCACAAATCACCGCCATCCGAGAGAAGAAGTGCCCAGTTCAGTTAGAAAGCCGGAACTTTTGGTGTTCCCTAAGTTGGAAACCACCGCACCTTGGGGACCCCGAAACGGAAGACTTAGTTTTTTTTTCTTCTTCGGTTCCTTCCACGGATGCCTTCCGGTTCCTTCCGGCTCGCGACCGGCTCGAGGCGGCCGGCTGCGGGGTGCAGGGCCCCGGCTCCGAGCCCTTCGACTGCCCGGGCCTCTGAGCGAAAAGCGGAGCTGAGCGGATCTGAGCCATAGGTCCTATGGTGTCCTTTTGATCGGGGTTGAGAGAACAAAATCGATGGGCAAGCCACCGATTTGGATGGTACTTGTTTATTTTCCATTTAGGGAGACACCCGTCCTTTTTTTTTGCAAAAGGCCGCCTATGGCAAGAGGCCGTCGGTCCGTTTTCTGGGCAATGGATGCTTCGCACTCCGGGTCTTTGATTGCATTCGTCAGTGGTTGATGTCTGAACTGCAGGAGAAGGATGCTAATAACTAGAACGACGAAACAGCTTGGAACTCAAAGGCACTAAATAAATGCTTGTAGTCAGCCAAGCCTGTGCAAACACGACAAGACCGCATAGCATCTTGAACACAACTTTGCTTGGGAGTCTGTCAACACGGATGGTTTCTTCCCAGCTGTCTGGTTCCTTAGCTTTTTTCCAGCTTGGTAGTTGGTTTAGTGGTTGGGTCTCCGAATTCAACCCACAACTAATTCACTTTTAGCAGAGAGGACATGGACAGCCCAGGTTGTTTGTGTTGCTTTTGCTGAGTCTCAGGGAATGAGGGAAGCCCCCCATCAATTCCATGCCTTCTGGTTCATAGCATGATTGCGGCTACCAATGGTTTCACTCGTGTGCGCGATTTGTGCTGTGTTCTGAACTTTATGGGCATGTCTCGAAGGTGTGGGCATTTCAGCACAGTCCCTTCGAGTTTCCTTGAAGGTTTCAGGTTTCATTGGAGTTACCTCGGCCCCTCAACTGACTCACAGGCCAAGCCGCCCTGGGCAACTGGCGCTGGCCTTATAGCCGGCGGCGAGTCAGTTGAATCCTCGACCCTGGGAGTGGTTTTTGGTAGCCGGTCGCATGTGGAAGTGTTTACCATCTATGAGCATTCACCTCGTGCTTGCAGCTTGTTAGGCTGCCAGGACAGTTTCAGGTGCCAGGCGCCAGAGAAACCCTGGCCAAAGTTTGTCGTGCGACCAGCATACGGTTTGCCTAGAGCGGCGGAAACCACCCGCTCGCTAAGAGCTGAGCACGAGCGGAAACGTCACCCGCTCGGTGCAGCTGGTACGGAGGTGCCGCGCCTGGTCGCCCAACAAGAAGGTCTGGTGCTGCAACAGTAAGAAGCTGGGCTCCTTGGCAAGAAGGCTCACGAATCGCGGGCGGTTCGGAGAGCCGGCCTTTTTTGTGAGAATTGCTCTTTGGGCTTGTCTCACAATAGGGGAACCCTAAAATGAATGGTTTCTTCTTTGGTTTCACTGCACAACTCACACCCATATTTTGTGTTGTTTGACTTGGAGTTGCCTGTGCTTTTGGCTCCACATGGAAGCTCAGGCTGCCAGACGATGGATGCCCCGCCCAATTGCGATGCGGGCGCAGGCATGGTGTGGAAGAGCCTTGGCCTATCTTTGGCATGGCTTGTCACCGCTTCTTGCTTGGCACGGCTGTGAACTGCGGCACAAATCCGTGGCTTGCAATCCGCAAGGAAAGTCTTCATTGACGGGCACTGGACCTGGGAGGCATGAGTGGGTGTGGATGTGGTTTCATCCCTCAAGCAGCTTGCAGATGCTTTGTACTTGCGCAGGGGCATGACACGTCCGGAGGCCTCCGGTGCTGGTGGTGCTGTGGTCGTCAGCAAGCCCTATGCCTGCCACGCAGGCGTGGTCTGTCTATTAGTCTATGCTATTTGCTTCGTTAATTTGCACAGGGCCTGGCCTTGTGAACATGACCTCGCAGTGAACATTGCAACATTCGCCTGAGATCTTGTCAATGCGTCGTTCCTACGCGCATTGAATTCCGATGGCCTCAATCCTGCGGTAACGTTCGAGACAGCAAGCTGATGCCAGGCCTTCCGAACTGGAACACTGGCTGGTCGGCCCCCAAGAAGTCCTGGCGCGGGGCCCAGGCCGAAGGGTCGCGGGTGCCTCCGTTGTGCAGCGGTTCCGAAGTCACTCCGAGCTTCGAGATTTGTGCTTTCCTTGATCCGAGAGAAAGCAACTTTGCTTTGGCAAAACAGGAGGCATCCTCCCTCCCATTGTGGGGAGGACATGGCGGCTTTCTTGAAGAGGAAGGCAGCAATTCCGAACGCCCCTGGTGGATTGTGTCAGAGCGGTGGGTCAGAAGGCCCACGACCTCGGGGTGAGCTTGCGCTTGGTCAAGGTCGGACACGGGCTCCCGGTTCAAGCCAGCAAAGCACCCACCAACCATGACGTGACATGGCCTAGGTGCTGTGCCCATGAGAATCTGGGCTGCCCCGGCTTTGTCTACCACGGCCCTGGTGCGGGTGGCTCCACCCACGTGGCTTGGCGTCGGGCATCGTTTTGGGGGTCCCTGTGTTAAAACGAGCCCGTGTCTGAGTTCAAATCATTTTTTTTTTCAAGCTGTGTCTCAGCTGCAACGGCTGTTGCGAACAGGCGCGACACCTTGTGCCTGGCAGATGCAAAACTTCGGACATGAGCACATTTGACTGTTTCATTGCAGTGTACGTTGCTCTAGAGAACATGAAACGTGGGCACCCAGCGCTGCAGAGCTAATATATGAAAAAAGAAGAAGAAGAAGAAGAAGAAGAAGAAGAAGAAGAAGAAGAAGAAGAAGAAGAAGAAGAAGAAGAAGAAGAAGAAGAAGAAGAAGAAGAAGAAGAAGAAGAAGAAGAAGAAGAAGAAGAAGAAGAAGAAGGAAGAAGGAGAAGAAGAAGAAGAAGAAGAAGAAGAAGAAAGAAGAAAGAAGAAAGAAGAAAGAAGAAAGAAGAAAGAAGAAGAAGAAGAAGAAGAAGAAGAAGAAGAAGAAGAAGAAGAAGAAGAAGAAGAAGAAGAAGAAGAAGAAGAAGAAGAAGAAGAAGAAGAAGAAGAAGAAGAAAACGAGCAACCAAAAGAACTTGCCTCCGATTGAGTGGATTGAACCCAAACAAAAGTGCGAAGGAACTTTTTGAAGGCGCCACTGAAATGGTCCAAGCCCAAAAAGTTTGAAGTCCGGGGTCCGGGAACTCGGGGAGTGGCGATCAGGGCGGCCCAGCCGGCTTTGAGCAACCGAGAAGGGAAGAACTTCCAAAAAGAAGCAGAAGGCTTCAGGATTCGGAGAGACGATCAGTGTGCAACTCCTGCCTTTGTCGTAACTTGCTTCATGCGGCACTCGTCGTTGCAATGGTGCTCATGCAAGCACTCGGCATGCCTGCCACTTGTTTCTGCCAGAGTTCAGCCAGAGTGCCCGCAGTGGACCTTCGCAGGGTAACATTTCCTCATAAGTTGTATGATCACAACTGGCGAGCGAGGTGGTGGTGACCCATCACTATGTTGCTGGCGGCGGCGCAGCAGGCGGCGGTGCTGCGGGTGGCGGCGCAGCGGGTGGCGGCGCAGCAGGGGGCGGCGCAGCAGGGGGCGGCAGCTGGCACTCCGGTGGCGGCGGCAGCTGGCACTCCGGTGGCGGCGGCGGCAGCTGGCACTCTCATTCCAGCGGCGGCAGCTGGCACTCGCACACTGTTGTCCATTAGGCACGAGGCATGTGGTTTCAATGCTCAGAGTATTGCGTGAAGTTGTTGGCCTGGGATGGCCGAGGGGCGTGGGTCGGGGCATCCTTGCTAAGCCAGCTGCGTTCTTTTTCGGGATTCGGGATTCGGGATTGGGGATTCGCGAATCCCAGATCGAGCTTTGAGTTTTGGGATTCGGGATTCGGGATTCGGGATTCGCGAATCCCAAATCCAACTTTGGGTTTCGGGATTCGGGATTCGGGATTCGGGATTCGCAAATCACATTCTCCAGGAGCTTCTCCGGATCACGTCTCCATGTTGGGGTAGGTGAATTCACCCCCCATTTTAGTCTATTTTAGTGGTTGGATTCGGATGTTTTGGATTTTGACCCACAGCCGATGGACAGGCGGCGCGTCTCCGCGGGGCTTTGCGCCTCTTCGCCTCCCGCTGGCTTCCAAAGGAAGCTGCACGAAGCGGCCGCCCCAGCGGTCGGAGGGCGGCCTCCAGGGTGGGTGGACAATCCCAAAGACGTCCACCATAGGGGACCACCAGTTGGAGAGTCAAGCTGCTATCGAATCTTGCTGGTGCGATAGGCAGGGAATGAGAAATGGGATGACCCAGATAAACCATCCCTTGTGGTGTCCTTTCAGGGAATCCCCAGGTTCATTCCCACATTCCCGACTGAGCACCAGCAAGTTATTGTTGGGAAGAGTTCTTGCAGTAAATCGCCCCACCCGCAAACGGACCGCCCGTCTGCAAAGGGGCTCTCCATTGAGGTGCAGATTTCCGGATCCAAGTGAACGATGCGGAGAAGCACTCAGATCCGCTCAGGAGGAGGTTGCAGTGAGGAACACCAAGGGAACACCTATGCCCCAAATGCCTGTGAACTCTGCTGGGCAAAGTTATTGGTAAGCATAAATCTTCGCCTACATGATGTCCATCAAGGGTCCGAATCTAGATTCATGCCCATATGCCAGCAGGGCTTCTTTGTTGCGCACCCTGGCAGAGATCACAATGAACACAGGGTTCTTCACTGCATCTTTTTTGTTATACCTAGGTTTTCGCCTGAATTAGTCTATTTGGGATGAGCCGAAGTTGCTCCTCAACCGTGGCACGCTGACGCGGAACCCGGTTCACCGTTCAGCTTTCTTTGACATCTTCAGGTGTTTGGACTCACGGAGCCGAATCTCAGCTTTTGGAGGATGTGCCACGGTGGCCCAAATGGCAGTGCTGGACGAAAGGGCCATGCAGCCTGCACCTTGACGGGCGTTGCTTTTCCGAACTGGAAGGAAAACGGGGGGAAGGGGAAGGGGAGCTTGTTGGAGACTGGAATATGGGTATGGGCCAAAATTAAGCCAGGAATTGGAGCGCAGGTTTTCGTCCTCGGTTCCTTCTTTGGGTTTAGCCTATGTTTGACAACCGCTGCCATATCATGGGTTCCCGAGCAGAATTGGGACTTTGCAGGTCTTCCGCGGGTGAACTGTTTGGCCGGTGCCAACCAGTTTCTCCCTTTGCCTGCTCTTGACCCTCGGCTTGGAAGTTGTTTGTTTTATGGGAGGGGTGCCAGTCTTTTTGGAATGAAGCTCGTGGCCGTTTTGGCTCCAGACTTGTTTGGTCCTGTGTTTTTTCAGCAATGACGGTGACAGTGCGGCTTGGACTGATAGACGCAGTTCGGGCGATGGCCGCTGCCTTGACCACGAAAACAAGCTTCTTTTCCGGTAAGAAAATCATTGCTTCAACCATATCTGGTGGAGAGACACAACTTGAGCGAGTCGCATCGGAGAATCTGCTTGGGCAGAAAAATCAAATCGCATCTTCATGCCTGAGGGCAAAGTCACCAAATTCCATGGGTGTTCAGCATTTACTGGCCTCTGAACTCATGGTTCTGCATTTGCACTTCCAAGATCGTTGCTTCTGCACAACAAATCTCAGCTTCCGTCTAGTTGGGGATTTGTGGTTTCGTGGTCAAGGAGGGGCTTCACATTTACCGTCCACAAGAACCAGGGGTTCAATTTACATTTCCCACCAATCCAAACCACCAATCAGGGAGCTGAAAATCGCCGCGCTCAGCTCCAGGGTGACTGGAGGCGCTGGCGGAGGCGCGGGAAGCGCTGGTGGCGGAGGTCACGGTGTGAGCGCTGGTGGAGGCGGCAGCGCAGGCGGAGGGGTTTTGTGGAGTGGGTTTTGTCTGGGGATCGCTCAGTAGCTTTTGCGGGAACTTTTGGGATGTGAAAGAATGGCAGTTGTGAACTGGACACCAGCGACGAATGTCAGGAAGGAGCGGCCTGTGCATCAGCACAGCTTGGTGCTCCTTGCAAAACTGCAACGGCGAGTGTGGGACGGGCCAGCGGTCATTCCGCTCACCTCTTATCTTATTGGCCAGCGTTTGTAGCTTCAATGCTCGCAGAGTTGCCTTGGTAAGCTGCTTTCCTCATCAGTCAAAGTAGCAGAGACGAAATCTCAGGAAGGCAAGTGGCCCGAAAGCGTAATTTGCTGAGTTGTAGGCAAGAGCATGGCCGCGCAGCAGAATGATCGCGCTTCGAATTTCACAGAAGCAGCCCAGGTCTTTCTGTGCAAGTTTCTTTGGGAAGTTCTTTGTTTAAGTTCTTTGCGCAAGCTCTTCGTGCAAGTTCTCTATGCCAGGCTAGTTCAAGAGATCCAGCGGAAGAACCCTTCGCCATGCTTTCAGGAAATGGCGTGGATCCAACACGGATGAAGCTATCGTTACGTTATCGTTGCTTTGGGTTCTTCACCGCCTTGCTTTCTTTGATGGCGATGCCCCGCGTAGAAGTGTGCTTCGCGTTTTTTCCATTTCGCATGTAGCCCTGGGGCTGGTCGTTGGAATCTTCCTGTGAGCAACTTGAACCTCGGGGTTCCCCGAGCCACAACGGTGAGGCGGCAGTGCGGCTGCAGGAGGGACGTGCGTGGACGCCTGCGGCCGCCCGGATGGACAGACAAGAATGGACTTGAAGGGGTGTGGTACAAGGGTTCCATTGTTTGACTATCCCAAGGTAGACTTAAATCCTAGGGGGTGGTTGAGTTTTTTCAAAGGGATACCCGGCGTGGTACCGTCAAACCACCAACCATGATGCTGCTTGCTGCGTGTTCGAAGCACAAAAGGTAGAACCCTGCAACAAAACGGAGTTGTTCTATGCAAAACCGCCCCAAAAAGGTTAGGAGGGTCCGCTCAGCTTGCTCAGCCAAGGAGCGGTTTGCAACTTGGTTGCAGCCCTGGCGGCGCCGCCGCAAGTTCGAGAAGGGCGGTATGTGGCGGTGCTTGGCTTTTGCTTGAAAGGTGTTTGCCCAAGTCAACGCGAGAATCACAGGGTTTGGAATCAGGACAGCCCAGAAGTATTTTTTTGATTCTTCAGCGATTTGACCCACAGCGAGGTCGATCGGAGTGCGGATAGCGGAATTGGAACGCGTGATTTTTTTTGCCCTGGTCTCTTCGAAAGCGGACCAAGTCAACTAAGTGGGTCAAGCGACCTGGCGAAGGCTGGGAAGGCTTCTTGCTTGTTTCTATGACCTGAACGTGACGCTCAAAGCCTTGAATTGCTGATAAAATATGAGTGACAAACAGATTGAAGTGGATGAGAGTCAATAAAGGGGAACTGTAGAACAAACTGAAAGCAATTCAATACCAGTTGCAAACACAAATGTGAAAAGCAACCGATAAAGGCGAATGAAACAAAACAGACAAATGAACGAGTAACCAAACAACCAAACAAACACATAAACAAACAAGCAGTAACAAGCAGGCAAATAAACACATGATATACATAAACGTATAAATAAATTGTGGCACAGTAAGGATAAAGCATTTGTGGATTTTGCCGCTCAAGCATAGATGCCCCCCTGGGTTGGTTCGCTCTTCGAGCTGCTGTGGGTTGGCATGGCGGCTGATGACGACTTGCTCTTGCCTTGTGGCATAGGAAGTTGTGCAGATTGTATTCTTGTGGCTATCAATGACCCGAAGACCAGGTTTCGTGCAACTCAGCGCCAAAATGCTAAAGTTGCCCAACCGCTGCCGGTGCGCTTGATTCACATTGCGGCCGCGATCAGCGACTGCGCGCTGAGCGCGCATCGAGTGCACCGAGTGCACCGAGTACGCACCGAGTATGCAGCGAGTGCACCGAGCTCGGGCCGAGTGTGCCGAGGACGCACGAGTACGCACCCAGTGCACCGAGTACGCACCGAGCACGCACCGAGTGCACCGAGTAAGCACCGAGTACGCGCCGAGTGCACTGACCCGGCGCGTAGCCGGGGTGACCCGGCGCGTACCCGGCGCTGTCTCCCTCCTACATCTTGGTACCTTTTTTACCTGTCCGGAATTTCCAGGAGATGCGTGCTTGGAGCGGACACAGCAAGTGGCGCCCAAGGCCACTAAATCCTTGTGCGTCGCTCCAGCGACAGGTGCAAACAACAGGAGCGAGCTGAATCTTTAGATAGGAATAAAAATAGACATAGCCAAGTGTACAAAAATATGCACTTAACTAAATAGATAATGAATGCAAACATAAGTAAGTCAACAAGTGAATAGTAGCCAAAGAAAAAGCACATGAAGAGTTCGAGAACGTGACAAGATACCTGTGACAACAAGACACATGGGGGAAGATCACTGAATCGCTCGAGCATAGCATCGACACGGCTTTGGCGCTCCATCCGACGGTGATCCCAGGCTTTGAGGCGGACACCTCGGGGGCCAAGACGACTGAGCACTGGGCCGGGGGCCCGTGAGTCGGTTTTTTTCTCCCCTGCGTGGCAGAGTGGGGCTTGTTGTTTCGAGCCTTTCTGTTGTGAGAGACAGGGAAGTTGTTGAGAGGGGAATGTCAGGAAGCCTTCAGCACGTCCGGCTTGAGCGAATGAGTGCTTGTGTCCAGGCCTATGTCGGATCAGGCGTGGGGGGAGCGTGACGCAAGCAACTGGAGCTGCACACTGGGGCTGACCCAAGGGGAGGTTTTGTACCGAAGGGGTCCATTTTTCTGTGTGCGGAACAAACTGACTCGAAAGAGACGGCCCATTGTCCGGTAGGTTGGGCATGCGCTGACTCACTGAACATGTTGGCAGTTGACACTATTGAGGACAAACATGGGGGACCACCCAAAGCGCCCGCAGAAAAAAAAGGGGACCCCACGATGTTGTCCTTCTCCTAACAAGCGCCGAGCTTTTGACACGCCAGGCCGCGGAAGCTACACCCAGGTCGAGACGATGGAACTCGTGGGCCAGGGGTGGCGCTGGCTGCTTCCAGGGTCTTAGTGCGGTGGGCTCTTAGTGCGTGTTGCTCATTTGCCTTGCATTCACCGGGCGTGGAGGAATCCTTCCCGCTCGCGAGCAGATGGTGTTGGCAATCAATATTTGATGCAATGATTCCATGAGGCCAAGCGCAAAAACGACACTTGGACCTTGGATGTTATGAGTCCACGGAGCAGAGGTGAAGGATTTCTTTACTTGTCTTGGGATCTCGGGATGAATCCCAGCTGCGAGAACCAAAGATCACTCGGCCAGGAAGGGAGATTTCATCAAGGAGCAGGTGGTCGTTGGAGGTGCCAAGGGGTAGCGGACTCGGCTGAGTTGCCACGGCCGCAACATCTTTTCAGGCACAAAGGCGCGCATTTGTTGGTTGCCCTTTGCCGTGAATGCCTCGATTTTATGGAGGGAATTGTGACGTAGGAGCTGCTGCCCAATCAGTCACGACGCCTCTTCACATGCGCCTGGCGTCTTTAGTTTTTCGGAGTACCATGTTGCCTGTTTAATATTTCATGGACCTCGCTGACTAAATATACATGCTGCCGCAGCCGCATAGTGTCCCTTGCGGCATGTACACATATAAGTGTATTTGTATGTAATATATATATATATATATATATATATATATATATATTTCTATATACACGCATATCATCACCCTCCACCCCCCCAGGGCCCACCTTTGTACTTTTTGCACACGAGATTTATTTGCAGATGTTCAGTGTCCACTTGGTTTGCAGATGCCGTGCAGAGAGCACTGTAATTTACAGTGTTTGTGTGATACTTTTCATATGGTACCAGATTTTCTTAGTGTGCTTGATGCAAAACAAAGCTCAAGAAAGCAAACAGAACGAGAACAAAATGCGTTTGCAGATGCAACTTTGTCAGTGTTGAACACACTGTGCGTTTTAAAAGGTACTGCAAGCACATTTGTTTTGGCGTTGTTTGATGGTTGCATCCTCAAAACATGCACAGGCTCAAACAAATGCAAAACATCCAAACCTGAAAGCTCCAACGCCTGCACAGGCTCAAACAATTGCAAACAAATGCAACACCCAGATGCAATGTCAGAGGTCAGGGCTTGATTGGTCTAGATGTTCGCATTTGTTTTTTTCTTTTTGAGACTTTGCAGGTTTCAGAGCGTTTTGCTTGGGTTTTGCCGCGTTTTTTGAGCCTGTGCAGCTTTTGGAGCTTTGGGTTCTTAAACCATGCACAGGCTCAAAAAGCAACAAATGCAAACCTGAAAGCTGCGCAGGCTCAAACAGATGCAAACACATGCAACACCCAGATGCAATGTCAGAGGTCATGATTGGTCTAGATGTTTGAAGTTTTTGCATTTGTTTGAGCCTGTGCAGGTTTCAGAACTTTTAGCTTTGGATGTTTTTTGCATTTGTTTGAGCCTGTGCAAGTTTTGAACCTTTGGGTTCTTAAACCATGCACAGGCTCAACAAAGCAAAACACATCCAACGCCTTTACCTAACTTTATTTCTGTTTGAAGACTGGGTGACAGATTGCTGAGCATTTTCATGGAAGCCTCGCGCTGCAAACTTTCAGCTTCTAACATATTGGCTACTCAATACAAAAAAGAGATACCTTGAATGACCTTGTTGAGCTTCTAGCAGCAGAGTAGTGTATAAAAGGAACTGTGCATGAAGTATAGGTGGGTGACAACAAAACAACATATGTAAAAAGTATTATCACTCCCCACTTTTGAAATTATCAATATTTACAGAGTGTACAAGTGAAAATGTGGGCCGCCCTGGAGGGGGGGGGGGAGTGAGTTTATATATATATAATATATATATATATATATATACATAGTTTTTTTTCTCCCTCAGCGGAAGCAGAACCAAACCACAGCCTCCACTGCGCGGCTCCTCTCCCGCACAGGGGCTTTTGCCCAGAAGCGAGAGACTCGCTGTTGACCAGTGCCGCCCCTCTTACCTTGTGATCCAGGTCTGTCAGTCGACAGTGCCGTGTCACATGCGGTCTACTAATATCCAGTCTATGCCCATTTCTTTTTCACACACAACTCGCTACATTCAACTCCGAAGATTTTTGACGTCCTCAACCAGCCGGAGTCCAAAATCCTGCGCCAATCAACCCCCAGCCTTGGCCGCAGGCGGCGGCGTGAGGCGCGGTTTCTTTTTTCCCGAAGCAAGGGGTGTCGATCGGGCGTAGAACAATAGGCCCTTTGGATTTCTTCCTTTTCCCCTGGATCCAGATCTGGCTGCGTCGGTTTTTCCCCCAACAGCTGGAAGCCTTGGGGTCTCTGCCCAAACAGGCTCTGGTTCCAGAGGGTTCCAGGGGCTTCCGGGCTGTTGATGGTACCACCTGGGTTTATTTGAGACCCTGTTTAGGATTGTTTTCAGGCGCGAGCGCTTTTTCGTGCGCAACAAAGGTCCATGGTTGCAGAATGTTGCTGGTACACTTCGACTCAGACACGCTTGTTGATGGTTGGAACACCCTTAGACAGGGGTTGGCCAGAATCCAACTGCGTTTTCATGTCCGACTGAGGTGTCGTGCGGCCTGCATGGGCTTTTTGTGCGTCTTGTGCCTGGCGGCGATCATCATCCCCTTGATCTTCTTGCTGCAGCCGCGGGGGTCCCGGAAGGCTTCTACTCAAACACCCCCAAATTTGTTGCTCGCTTCAGTTTTCTTGGGGTTTCCGATTTCCCGCACCCGAGTTGGCGCAGGGTCACACCTAGATTCATGCTCGCGTGTATGGTTTGGCAGTCAACGACAGATGCAGGAGAGTCGTTGGCGCTCTTAAACTCGATGCTCAGGAGTTCTAACATTTGTGCGATGAGGAGAGTTTTGCCGTCCTCACGATTTCAGCAGAATGATCATGATCCACACAACTGCGGATCTTGGCCCCGCTTCTGCCCCAGTACCTTTCACTGAGCTTCCTGGACAAGGGGGTTGCTTCCCACTTGCTGAATCGTCGTTAATCGCAGCTTGCTGTGGACCTTTTGGGCAACGAGGCAGATTGGTGGATCCCCAGGCTTTGCTGCCACTTGGCCGAATCTTAATTGGCTGGGGAATGGAGTGAGTGGGACAAGCATAAGGCTGAGCTGCGGATTTGTACGGGGGCAGTGAGTGCGACCCCATGACCAGAGTTTTTTTTTGACGCACCATGAGGATGTTCAGTGGGAGTTATGTCAAAAGGGCAGGCAACTATTGCGAGTCCTGTTTTGACATCTGGCCGTGGGGCTGCCCGGTGCCTGCCGCACCATTTCTTCCCTTATATTATGACTTCGGCTTTCGTAGAGGCTTCTGAGCACAAGGGACCATCGCGCCACATCTTTGATTCTCCGTGTCGGCCACGACCATCAGTCTTCAGGCTTTACACCGTGACAGATAGATGGCCTCATTTGTAGCGGCCCATTTGTCATACACCGCCATGCTGCGTTGCACATGTATGGCGCTGCGACACCAAATGACCCATCAGAGCAGCCTGTCAGGAATGGACGTCAATACATCAACAGGGTTTTGGACAGCCCTTGTGTAAGTTCCATGCAAGCATACTTCAGTTGTTCAATATTGTCTCACTGCGCCTTCCTGCCAGGGATATGAGTCCTTGGATCAAGGGGCACCGTTATGTCAAAGTCCCCCAAGCCTGGCTGAAAGGAGAGGAGAGGGGAACATACGAATGACTAATCATAAACAACCAGTTTTTTTTTCCTAAAAAAAAACCTTCTAGTTTTGGTGCCTAACAAGGACTCGAAAGGATGTCGGGCTTGTGGCTCTTTTGCTCAGGACATCAACTGCGCCACGCTCGCGATTTCCGCTGCGGCCACTCGTTTGGGAGGGCCCCATGCACATTGACCAGCCCCTTTGGAAGTTCATGAGATTTTGGAACACCAGAGGAGTCCGGAAGCTGGTTGCTTCAGCGGCATTTGCCAGATGAGTTGAGTTGCTTGTGATTGAAGTTGAAAGGCTTGCGGAAGTGTGACTCTCAAAAAGACTGGCACTGGTCCCCAAGATCTGGCCTTTCCGCAGAGTGTTCTTGCCAATCCGCGAACCTTCCCTTGAGTTCGGAAGGTTCAGCCTGGGCTCCCTTCTTTTTTGACCCCCCCCCACCTTTTGTTGCCCCCCCATTCCTTCAGTTTGACCCCCCCCCCCCTGTGTCACCCCCCTTCTTTTTTTTGGACCCCCCTTTGCTTTTATTTGACCCCTGTCAACTTGCCTTTCCCCCCCTCTGTTTTAGATTCAACTGCACCCCTTTTCGGTTCATCACCTTTGCGAAGATCATGGGGGGGGGGGCGGCAGCCCCCCCCAACCCCACCACTACTCCGCTCCGGCTCCTCATCCTTCCTCCGTTGCTGCGCCTCTTGTTCCCGGGCAGGCCTCTTTATACGGCCCATGGGAGAGGGGGGGGGTCAAAAAACAGAAGTGGGGGGGTACAAAAAGAGGGGGGGTCAAACTGAAATGGGGGGGGTCAAAAAAAATGCATCCCCGTTCAGCCTCGCCAATCACTCGCAGTTCAGGGATGTTGAGAGAGTCCCTTAGCCTTTTTCTTACGCGCAATGAAAGAGAGGCATGTCTATGAATGAAGGTTCAGGGTGCAAGCTGGACAGCTGGACATGGCGAGGTGCTTTTGTGTTACTTCAGTGGGATCCTCGGGTGGCCCGATTTGTTCTTTCCGAAGCTCGGGATTCTTCGGCTTCAGGCGCCCGATCAAGCGACGATTTGCTGCCAACAGGCGGGGGCTGAGCCGGGGGAGGTGTGGTTTGGGGAATTGATGGATCCTGGTAGAGGATGCGAAGCAAGGTGAGTCAGAAGCAAAACCCTGTGAGGGACAATCCCAGCCATAAATAGGTTCTGGGTTTAGGTGACCACGCACACGCACGCATGTACGCATGGCCTTGCTTGGCGTTTTGACGCAGGGCCACCTCGGCTTCTGCGCGGACCCGGCTCCACTTCCGAGCCCTCCACTTCCGCAACCAGTGCCCGAGAAGGTGGTGATCCACGACAAGCAGCTCGGCGACCGTGGTGAGAGGATCCAAGGATTGAGAACAGTAGCCTAGTAGCTCGATTCCCAGCAGTTAGAACTGGTGCTTCTCAGGTGCCCCTTTGGAGTTTTCGGAGAGTAAGATCGGGTCCACTTCGGATTGCGTCAGAATTGGATTCCTCTCCTTGGCTGTTGCACTTCGAGGGCAAAACAAGCAACTCCAATCCCAGCTGCTTTAGAGGCTTGGAAGATTCGAACGTAGGGCCAGGATGGGAGACCTGGCTCTCAGGTACTACACGCGCGTGAAGCTGCTCGGCTGAAAGTGGGAGGATACAGCTTGATGGTTTGCAGGTGCAGATTCAGTGCAGACCTTTCTTAAGACGATGCAGCTTGACGGAATTCCACGGGATTCTTGTGCTGCGATACCCTATGCAAGTTTGTTGATTTTGTGCCGAACCACATACACACACACACATGCATACTTGGCAAAAAGCAAGTCATGCCCTACGCTTGTATGCATTCTTTTTGTTTGCATGCCGGACTTTGGCGGAAGCCTGGTCGCCTTAGCGAGCTTTGGAAAAGTGGTCCAGTGGGAACGTGTCAAGGACCAGTGTCCCATGCTCCAAGTCCTTCAAACGGGGGAGGTCCCAAGCCTCACGTTTCTTGCAGACCTGATTGGAGAAATGTGTCCCACTTCTGAATCCGAAGGGACATGGTCGGAATTTATGCGAGGAATACGAAGGACAACCATCTGATTGAGGGCTTGGAGCGGTGCCGGGATTTGCGCTTGTGTCTCAGGGAGGTGCCAGTGCCCCACATGGTGCCGGTGCCTATCCCGTCGGCTCCGGCCAAAATCATTGAGCCGCCCAGACTGAATGGAGCCGTTCCGGGGCTGGGGGTATCCAAGTTTGCCTAAGAGTATTGAGCTACCGATCGGAGTTCTGGAAGGAGATGGTAGTTGGGATGAAAGGTGGACTTCTTGACTTAAAACCGAAAGTCATGGTGAGGGAGAACCATGTATGTGATCAGCTGCTTGGGCTTTCGGACACTTGCGATCCAGCGCTTTGGAGAGAACTGATTTGACCTCACAGCGCAAGAGACATGCCGATCCTTTTGACCTATGCCCTGCAGCTGTGTTTGTCAACTAGGCTTGAAGAGATTCGGATTCAATGAGCCCGCACGAGATTCGCATTGGCTTATGGTCTGTCATATTTGCATACGGCAAGGCTCAAAAGATTCTGGTCAGCTTTTGGGAGAAGAGCTTCTGTCATGCGAGTCATGCGGTGCTTGAAAAAGGAACAGACAGCTCAGCGCAGCAAAACCATTTCAAGTGAATGAGTTTGGGCTTGCCTGTGTGACAACCTGAAAGTTAAGACTGGCCGGAAATTTTTAACAGCTGGGGGTGCAGAGGAGCTTCTTGTGGGTTCTCGAAATGGGTTCATGTCCCCAAGTGGGATGGATTTCCTTTTGGTTTCCCTCTCTTCTGCAATCCTCGAAAAGGTCGCCCTCCAAGAAAGCAGCCTGGCTGAGACCGAGCATCCGATTCGGAGTGCGCTGAGGCACAAGGTTTTTGTGAAGAGCCATGCCTACGACTGCAACGAAGGCCTGGTACGAGTGAGCTATAGAACCTACATGAATGTTGCCACCATCATTTCTATCGTGTCTTTTAAGCTTCGCCGGCTTAAATGTCTTAATCATATTCATACAAATATCCGTGCTATCTTCCACTCTAAATGCGTGTTTGATGTTCTAAATATTACATCATTTGTCGAGAAGTTTGTTCCATCACAAAAAGTTGTTATTTCATGCGTTCCCATCATTGAATCTTTTCCAGTAGGCAAACATGCTCTAAAAATGAAACCGTTGTTAAATCAAATGATTGAATTTAGTTGCTAAATGTGTGTTTTGTATTGCCCTATTAAGCAGTGTGAGCAAATGGGATGAATGGGAGGCTGGTTCGGTTCCCTGTTTTGGGTTTTTAAAGGGAGGCCAAAGTGAAGCTTCCACCGTTTTTTTTTGGTGATCCATCAACATCGTGCGTCAATGAGTTCAGTTGACCGAGGAGCATGGCTGATCCCCAGCAGATAAAGGGGAGCATGCCTGAACTCTCAAGGACATTTTGCCGCGCAAACAAAGTATCCAGAAAGTACGTCCAGGTGCATACAGGTGCAATCGGTTCTTGTTGGAAGCAATGCAAGCGGTGCATCCCTGGCAACTTGCCAGTGGCATCTCCTCAAATGCCTGAGTGCATCAGATGCTTCCAGCGGAGGTTCAGCAAAAGCAATTCAACCGATCAGTTGAAGGACGCAGGCATATACTTGAAAGACTGACACGTGCGCGGCCACAAAACAGCAGTTTTGGCCCTTGAGACAGACTCGGCAAGCCTACGTGTTTTTGCTTCCGGCCATCCAATTTTGGAAGTGCAATAGGAGTCTGCCCTTGAGGCAGACTAAACCAGCTTTGCTTCCGGCCATCCACCTCCGGAGTGCAATAGGAGTCTGCCCTCGAGACAGACCAAACAAGCCCTGCAACAGGGGCTGCAACTGGGGGAAGCAAACATGTGAGGAGAGTCAAGACGTTCAAACTGTTTGCTGCGTGCACCCCCTGGATCGCCCTCAGGCACATTATTTAAGTAGAGTTTGGACACTGAATGCACCGATGAACTTTTGGAGGGGTTGCGGCCTCCGTTTGTCTCACGGTATGAGGCATGGACATGAGTGGCTGAGAGAGAGAGAGAGAGAGAGAGATAGCCACCTGCTCGTCTCGCTGCTAGGCCTCAGCACCTTTGCCAGCAGCTGGTCGGCCATGCACCAGCGCTACTGCTGTTACCTGCACAGCGTTGCCTGCCACACTCAGGCCCAAAAAACCCTGCCAAGTTTTGGAGATGTCTGTGGCTTTTTTCCGGGGACCCCTCAAGATGTATAGTGGTTTTCCTGCTTTTGGTTTCCCTTAAAGAAACAAAGGTGGGGTTTCCTCGAACAACAACACAGGCAGTTTGCCCACGAGAAAAAGTCTCGATCATGGAAAGGAAGCCCATGCAAAGCCTTCCAGGGCGATCTTCACCCATTTTTTTGACTAGCTGGTGGGTGGAGAGGAGCTGTTACCAGAGCTGGTATCCAAATTTGCTAGGGAGCCTTTTGGAGCGACATGGTAGATGCATATTTTCTGGGTTTTGGCGTTGCCTTCCGACCGTTCCTTGCCACATGGCTGAGAGCTACAAAAGCCGGGCTAGTGCATCACGCTGAATTTGCCGCCAGGTGAAGTACCGGCGCCTTGGCAGCATGACGTTGGCAGGTTGAGGGAGATCTCCACGAACCGCTCTGTTTGTCGAGGCATGCAGCTTCTTGCAGTTTTGTTCTTTAGCCACACCTTTTTCGGCGCACAAATAGAAGTGGCTGTGGCACATGTGAGGCTGGCATCTTTGTTCCAAGGGTCGAGACCCCGCGCATTGTTGAAAGGATTTCCGAGCCGAGAAAAGTGCCCAGTGAAATTGCCAGTCCAGAAAGGTCAAGACCTAGTTGAGAATCCAGACATCCAATTTCCGCACTGAAACCGAGGCACATCGCGTAAACGTTTTGACCTTGAAACGAAATGTGAATTCTCCCTTGGAAATCCAAGTCTGCTGACTTGCCGATGTGCTTTGGCTTTTGCACAAGAGTCTTTCGGCTTAGTGTGGCACAGGCCGGCGTTGGGGTCCCGGATCATATTTCAGAACTTGGATCATAGAGCGAGCGCTCAGAAACCACTACCACACCATCACCTCTGTGAAGCACGTGGGGGTTCCTGTGCACGTGCCGATCCCTGCACCGCCGGCCGCGGAGTACAACCGAGTGGTGAACGTGCCCATCCACGACACTCGGATCGTTTTTTTGGAAGCGGCTGCCCTAAAAACCGTTTGAGCAGGAAAGTGCTGCCCAATTTGGAGGAGAGTTCTGTTGAACCCGGCAGTTGTGTACTAACTGCCCACTTGGCTGGACATTGGTTCTTGGCTTTTCAGTGAAACAACCTGAGCCAGGCATTGCTATATAGGGGGGAAAGAGTTCCACGGGGCATGAGAGGCTGCAAGTGAAGCAGGAAGCAAGTTGATTTGGAGGTCGGTTTGCTTTTGGCTTCCCCTTAACCCCATCCAAACGTCGGGTTCCCCGATTTATGAGACACCCACGTCGTGATTTCCAAGGATCCGCCACAGGTGATCCAGGTGAAAACGCCGGGGCACACGCACGTGGCTGCCAAGCTGAAGTGGCACCTCCTTCTTGTGTTTTGTTTTTTCCCCCGCGAAGCGGCTCGTTTTTATTTTTTTCTCAACGAACTCACCAAACAAAGGCGGCCCGAAGCAACCCCCAAGTCCTCTCATAGGCGGAAGCAAAAAACAAAGCAAGTTGCCGGTTTAGATTCAAGCTGAAAGAGGAGCATTGCGCCGAACCTGAAGGCCGAAAAGAGATCTCGAGGAAAGCCGGGGTTTCATCAGCTTGAGTTGCGAAAGGGGAAGTCTCGTCAGAACTCCTGCCCCAGGTTAACCAGTACGTCCACAGCAAGCATTACGTGCCTGAGCCGGTGCCGTCTCCCCCTCGGTTCCGCAGCGTGCCGGTGCCTGTGCCCGTGCACACTCCGGGCAAGGCGAGTGGCGAGCGAGTGGCTTTGGGTGAAGCCTTCAGGCCTCGAAGCCATGAACCAACGAGTTGATCTGGGAGCTAAACGAGTGAAACTCGCCTCGGAGTGACTGGCTGTTCTGACTGTTCTTCGTTACAGGCCACGACCTGTGTTTGCGCTCCCAATCTCGGTTTGTGCACCGCAAACAAAACATGATGGCAAGAAACAACAGCTTCGTGCCTTGCGCAGCCAAATACTAGACAAGCTTGAGTTGGGTTGTTTTGCGTTTTCGGCTCGGCCAATCCTTTATACATTTTTATACGCTTGCTCTTTTACTCACAGCAGCAGAAGCAATGAGAAAAAACAACTCTTAGGAAGAACGTTGCTGCTTACTGGCTACCTTTGTTGCCACTGCTTCCGCATTGACGGCAACTCTTTCAGATGACAGCCCCGAAGTCTTCGAAACTGTCCTCCAAAGCGTAGAACGCCACGTGGCATGCGAAGCCGGGGACAACTCCCAAAATTGGCCGTTCTAGTAGATAGTTCTACTCCCTGGTTGGAAAAACGGTTCTCGTTGTGAACCTTCTAACCGTCTTAGTAGACCCAAACATCCATGAATTTTGGGTCGCTCCAGGCGTCAAAAAGGGCTCTGGTGCGCAGCCATTAGACCCGCAAGTCTTGGTTGAGACCGAGCCAGGTGATCCCCGTGCCGAGCCCTCTGCCGCCTCAGACCGTTGTGCACAACAAGGCCGGCCGCGCCACTTTTTTAGCCAAAAGGAAGCCCCCGGACCGTTTTGCCGCTGCGTTTTTTTTTTGGGGGGAAAACTACTTCCGGGTTGGAAGTAAAGGCGCTGGGCTGTTGAAAGGTCATCCGCAAGATCCTTACCTTACGCAAGGACTTGGTGGCCTTTGTAGTTTAAGTGGAAAATCGGATTGGCCAAGCCATTTTGAACAGCCCAGACAGGTGCCACAAAAAGTGTCTCCTGGAGCCAGGCGTCACCTCATGAATTTGATCGCCTCGAACTTTGGGGGTCTGGGGTGAGACGCCGGGAAGTGAGATCGACATGGCAATGAGGTTTAATGGAACCTGAAACGGGGCTGGTGGACATAAACCCCCACCTAAAGGATGTCCACCCAAGGGTCCCTGACAAAAAAGCATACCCACATGTCTTCATCTCCTGTCCTATCTCCGTCGGCGGGGAGGCATTGGACGCATGGAAACGAGCTGACTCACGAGTGAAGGAGTGCAAGGAATGGATGACCCAGTGATGGAATCTATCTAAACATATTTCTAGCCCTTCTTCCGTCCTTTGCGCCCCATTGCAGGGGCGCCCGGAGCACCTAGCATCCAGGCGTCATTTTGTCCCGGGCCATCAGCCTTTTGCCCAGCAGTGTGTGAAAGTCTGATTGCTCATTGCTCGAGGCAAGTGATTGCTCGAGGCAAGTGTTGCAGTGGCAATTCAGCGAACGCCTCCACACGAGTTTGGCTTCCAGAGCACGTGTTTGGCATTGCCAGGTTGTGTACAAGACCAGGCACGTCATCACAAAGAAAATCTATGACTGCGATGCCGGGTTCAACAACTGGAGACTTGGCATTTCGGCATTTATCACAGGCTTGCGGCCAGCGGGGTGCCAGTCACGAGTGCAAAGGCGTTGCAGTTTGCAAGTCAGGGGCCTCGGTAGACCTAAAAGGTAGATCTAAAAACAAGTTCCTGAGCGGCAGTCAAGCATAGTTCTCTTTGCGATGGTTATCCTCGTGATTGAGTTCCGAGGCACTCGAATAACACAAATATAAGAGCCCTTCGTTTCTCTCTGTCCTTGACGGTAGCTTGTGGGAGACGCAGTGCCCAAGCAGTTGGCCGGCGTTCTGGCGTTGTACGCTTGACCTGAGCCACTGTACTCATCCAGAGTTGGTTCATCCGATCCGCTCCATCCCCGGAAAACACGAACAATCAGAATAACACTACTTGGAGAAAGTCTTGACATGCCGCCAAGGGACAAGGGACAAGAAGAGATTGGACATGGTGGCATTGGAATATTCGATTGGGCCAATTGATCAACTGTGCCTCCAACATGGGATCGGCGATGCGCATTTTATCAGCCCGTGTTCTTGTGAGGAAGTATGGCTGGTCCAGCCCCAAGAAGACGTGGTGCTGCGCCCACGAGAACAAGGGCTGTGCAGGCGGAGCGGTGCTGAAGATCTGGGTAGCACATTAACTGCAGGGCTTCTGACAAGATTCCTATTCTTGAATGAGGTGTGGCAGGCTTGGGTGTTCAAGGTATCATTACTTACTGCAGTTTCAACTATGCCAATTTTGGCTCAAGGGATTGATCCAAATTCCGTCTCAGGAGTGACCTGTATGGCAGGAACTCAGAATGCCATGCATACGGAGCGCCATGTCCTTTCGCCTGCGGCCTTGCGCCTTTCCACATCTACGCTTCGTTGCCGTTGCTTGAAGGGGAAGCAAGCCGGTACTCGTGAAGGTTTCTCCTGTGTCCCATCGACCTTCAGCAGCGGGTGGCCGTGGGGCATCATAGCTGTGCCAGGCTCACACCGCAGAACAGGAAGGCCTTGGCCCTGACATGAGATCGGCAACTGCCGGCAACCCCTACTGATGGGTCCAAGGTGCGACTGAACAGGATCACGCCGAGGAGCTGTGGCGCGTCGAGGCTCCATGCCCTGACGCTCCACAGACTCTATCCTTCTTCAGCGCCGCGCCGCGCCGGTGCGCTCCGGCTGGAAAAGGATAGCCACCTGCTTACCGCTCAGCGGCGCTTGAGCTGGGAGGCGCCAGCCAGCTGCGATGCGACTTTCCCCACCCCCCAATCGGCTCGTCGCTCCAACCGGCGGGGTGAGGCGGGCGTCCCTGACCAACGCGACCTCTGCCAACCTTCGCCCGGCACAGCTCCCGCAGAACCCGCTCCCAGGACCATCTCATCCTTGGCTGCGTTGTTGGGGTAGCAGAGCGTGGTGCCTCCACCTTCCTCAGTGAAGAGCAGCTCGCTAACCTTCCTCTTCTTCTGCTTTCACCTCCCAGATAGGAAAGATGCAGTGGTGGGCGGCGAGGACTGACGAGCTCAGCTCCGAGTGCTACGGATGCCGGCCATCGAGACGGTTGGACTTCGTTATCTTTGGCTGGACATTCATCCACAGGCGTGTCGATCATGGGCGATGACACCCCTGACTATTTGCCGGGCAAGAGAGCCAGAGAGTCACTGTCTTGGAGGTGCTGGTGGATGACAAGCTGCCCTGGCAAGCGCGCATCCGGTTGACTGGTGACCGTGTCGTGTGGTGCTCGCAGCGAGAGCGCCAGGGGCCCAGGCACTTCCATCCTTGCCCTTCACCAAGGGGAGCATCATCCTGACCTTCAGAAAGCTCTTCCCAGCGCACTCTTCGAAGGCTTCAAGTTCCCTGTGTTGGACAAGGCCATTCCAGCAGCAGCCGCTGCCAGGCAGGCAACTGCAGAGGCCAGCAGGCTGGGCGCTTTGAGTCACAAGGCGGCTTTGCCCTTGCTGGTTGCAGGGCTGCGCCGGCACTGGATGACGACCTCTGGCATGCAGCGTGCATGCGCTGCGGGAGCTGAAGCGCGAGTGACCACCCATTTGAGGCAATGGCAAACGCAAGCGGTTTGGACAGTCGCAGCATCCAGAGATATTCCAGAGATAGGTGGTCTCACTGCTCTCCTTATCGTTCTCAGCACTTGGGTGGATGTCAGCTATCCGATGGGCTTGATCCCCCAGCAACAAGGTCACGAGTTGTCGGAGGTCTTCGACGGACGGGAGCAGCGCAACCAGTCCATCATTGCGTCCTTGAAGCGCTTTGATGATGAAGTCAAGGGGGCGAGCTGTTGCGCATCACCAGGCCCAGGTCCATTATCGTCCAGTCTTCTGGTGGCAAGAAGAGGATCATCGACAATGCCAATGCAGAGGGCCAATCCAAGCTCAACGTTGATCTAAACAAGCTTGTTTTCAGTAGACTTGTTGACGGTTGGTGGTCACGCTCGTCAGCATGTACTTTGACGATGCCAACATGGTTGATTGGAGGCAAGGGCAGCGGTCTGATGCATGACTTCACTTTCTTGCGAGACCAGGGAGTGGTACACTTCTGGCCAAGGGCTTGAGCAGTTCAAGGCACCTCAGCCATGACCCCTGCTTTGCTCGGGTCAAGCCTAGGCGCAAGTTCAAGGTGCTGCCTCTGCTGGTACTTTTAGCGTTGATTGCCAGGCCTAGTATGTTTCAAGCGAAAAGGGGGGTTTGGTACATAGACAACACAGCTGCGCACATGTGCTTGATGCGAAGCAGATCGGACTCGCCGGGTTGCAGGCGTGCGTGGGAGTGGATTCCTAGCAAGTTGCCTGGGTCTGGAGAACCCTTCATAAAGGCTAAGTGGTCCTGCGCATTACCCTGCGGGTGACACAGGCTGGAAACGAGCATGGACAAGTCTTTGAAGAAGAAGGTGCTACACCATCAGGGCTACCGGAAACCGTATGTCTAGGTTGACTGCAAGTAGGATGAATGAGGTCTGGCGGGCTTGGGTGTCCAAGGCATCATTGCTGCAGTTCCAACTATGCCAATTTTGGCTAAAGGGTTTGATCCAAATTGGCTAGTTGAGTTTTTCTCCCACCCGGCCCACCTAAGTCGACGGCGTCCGGCGGAGTGTCCGCCGACTTGGCGCCTGGGGTCAACGCAGGAGATTGCCTGCGAATGCGCACCGATCGGGCTGCGCAGTGGAGTTTCTGTGCCGCCGGGATTTTGAGCAGGAAGTGGTCCTGCATGGCCATGTAGGGAGTGACCCACATGGCCTACCCCCAGAACAGATGTGAACCTGCTGGGTCGGTGGGTCTATCCAACGCATTACCCTGTGGGTGGCACAGGCTGGAAAGAAGCATGGATGAGTGTTTGAAGAAAAAGGAGCTACGCCGTCAGGGCTAGCGGAAGCCGTATGTCTAGGTTGGCTGCAAGTAGGAATGAATTTTGGGAAACACCCAAGTCGGCTTCAAGTTGGGGCATGGGACATTCCGAAGCCGATTAAAGGGCCTGCAGAGGGAGAGCTTACGTTGATTCCATCGGGCTGAATGTGGTAAGGCTTCAGTCAAATCGTGCTTCAGTGGCATGTTCTCGGGTGTGTTTTGAGCCGCGACTTCGCAGGCACATGGACTGGCTCCGGCCTGACCAAGACCATCGTCACCGGCGTCACCACGCACCATGGTCAGTATGACGGCGATTACGGCGACTACGGCCACGACCACTACGGTCACGGCGGCCACTACACCGACGGCAGCAACTATCATGTGCATGTGCCTGGGCTTCAAAGCTGATTTGTCCGCAAGAAGATGAGTAATTATTTCCTTCTGGTGAGGAGAGGGGCCCTGTTGTGTAAACAGGTCACATGGTGGTTGCAAAACAGATCTACACATGGCGGCTCTTTGTTAAGTTTGCTCGCGCCTTTCTTGGGAAGGAGCCGCCATGGGTTCCCAGCTGATGCTTGCAGTGTCGTTTTTTTTCAGTGCTGGCCGCTTGCCAGCGGAAGTTGTTTGAAGACTCATTCGAGAATTACTAAGCATGTGCCCATTTAGGTGGACATGACAAGGCCTTGCACCAATTGTAAGTTATTGAATGACTTGTCGCTGACTGACGGTGGACTGGCTGGCTGGTTGGCTGGCTGGATGGCTAGCTGCCTGACTGCCTGACGTCATGCATGTAGATGATATCCAATCAAGGGACGTTTTGTTGCAACACACAAGTTGCGTGGCGGGCACGTACGAGCACGTGTCTACAATTCGCGAGGGCACGCCATAGTCGTGAGTGGGGCAACATGCAGTGGTAGGGCAAGACACGGCGAGTTGCTGACTTTCGGCAGTCTCAACTTGGTCCTTGAACTTCCCGGCAAGATACAGCAACTCAGCAAAGTTCAAGATGATGAACGGCAAGATACGGCAGCCAAGTTTGAGATGCGCGAAGATAGTACGCAAAGTACACTTACTCAGCTTCGGCTCGAACATAGCCATTCTTAGGTGCCAAAGTAGTACGGGAAGCACACTCTCGTAGCTCTGACTTGAACGTCGCAGTGTTTAAGCACGCGAAAGTGTGTGAGACTCGAACCCATTTTTTGAAAGTTGTTTGCGAGCTTTTAGAATCATTTGTCGCTGCTTGCCTACGGGTTTGTCTTTGTTGTTGAGCTCGGCTATACAGGACTTGTCGCGCTAGCCCTACTAGGAAACTTGCAAGGCGCTCAGGGTTTCGCCCCTTTAGCGTTGCCAGGGGAATGCTGGCGTTTCGCGTCTCGGGCGAATTTTTGCAAGTGGCAACTCTCCAGCCCCAGCCATCTCCAGCCCCGTTCGGCAAAGCTTGCACTAGGGAATTGTGTTACATATGTTGGTTTCTGCAAAACTGTTAGGGCTGTGGGAGTTGTGCAAGCCACATGCGACAGTGGCACTTAGACAAAGCTGACAGGTGTACCACCACTACCACACGCACTCTGACCACATCCCCTACCACTACACGGACTCCGACAGCGACGTCCCCTTGTTGAGGGTGCCTTGCTCAAGGAAACGCAATATGCCTGTGCTCAGGGATTTCCTTCTTCGACCTCACCTTGCGAGGGCGAAACCCTCTACGCGGCCTGATCAACTGTTGCCTTAAGAGTTCCAAGTGAAGAGGCTGTCAGGGCTGGGCCATGCAAGCACTGTTTCGCAGCTTAGCCTTCGCCCCCTCTATCCCCCCCGGCTTAAACAAAAAAACTTGATTCAAGCCACGAACCCGAATGCAATTTGCCCGCTATTTTTTGGCTCCAAGTTGAAGTAGAAGGACTCCCACGAGCGACAACTTGAGCGACACTCTTGAATGACACCTGCGCGCGACACTTTTGACTGACACCTTTTGAACGACACTCGCGAGCGACACTTCTGAGCCACCCTCTTGTATGACAGTTCTGAGCGACACATTTTGCAGCAACACCTGTGAGCGACACTTCTGACGGACACTTTATGTCGACGGATACTTGTGAGCGACACTTCTGAGTGACACTCGCGCGAAGCACTTGTTAGCGACACGTCTGCGATCGACAGCACGAGACTTTGAGCAACACCCTTCAGCAACATCTGAGTGCAACGCCTTTAAGCGACACCGTTGAATGAGACTTGTGAGCGACACTTCCGAGCCTCTTGAGCGACACTTAGGAGCAACAACGCGAGCAACACTGAGCGACGCTCTAGAGTGACACTTCGCGAATCAATTGCGTTCGGCACATCTGCGATCGACTGCGCGAGGCTTCTCAGCAACACTCGTGAGTGACGCATGTGAGCGACGCTTCAGACTGCCACTTTTGAGCGAATCTTCTGCCCAAGTGCTGAGTGACACTCTTGAGGAACACTTCAGAGCGAGAACAAAAGCGACACTTCTAAGCGACACTCTAGAGTTGTACTCGTGAGCCGCACTGTTGTATGACCTTCTGAGCGAGACATTCTTGAACAACACCTGTGAGCGCTCAGCGACAACTTGAAGCAACGCTCTTGAATGACTCTTGTGCGGGATGCCTTTGACTGACGCCTTTTGAACGACAATCGTGAGCGACGCGTCTGAGCAACTCTTGATTGACACTTCTCAGGGACGCATTCTTCAACGACACTTGTGAGCGACGCTTCTAACGGACACTTGCGAGCAACGCCTCTAAAGACACTGTTCAATAATACTTGTGAACGGCATTTCTGAGTGCCACTCTTGAGCGACGCTGCGGAGTGACAACTCGAGCGACACCTCTGAGCGGCTGTCACTTTTGAGCGAAACTGCTCTACAGGCTTGCAGGTACTGCTCCTGCTGCGAGATCCATTTCCAATCTCCCAAGTGAAGCTTCCAAGTACTGTGCTTGCTACGAAATCTGCGTGCGAGCTCGAAACTACTGCGCCCGCCTTTATAAAGTTTTGCGCCTGTCACGCGAAATGGGCCGTCACGAAATCCAACTTTGAGCTCACAAAACAAGCCGATTGCATGTCAGGGCCAGCGAAAATGACACACACGCAAATGCTTGCACGCACCTGCCAAGCAAGACACCTCGAACCAACCGCCCCTGAAACGCAAATCGAAATGGCGGCGATGCCAACACGCGACGTTGCAAAACACTGCGCCTTGGCAGCGAAACAGCATGCAAAGCCGCAAAAGACACGATTCACACACCGGCGCGCGGACGCTTTCCAACGCTTGAGGCCACACGCGAGCCAACAAGCGAACACGACCCTACCCAGACCCCTTTTAATGACAGGAACCGTGCTACCCATTCGGACTGGGCAGAAACCAGCACAAAAACCGGTTGCTCAGGTTTGGCTATTCAGTTGACATTTTCTTTTTGAACCCTTTCACTCGGGATTTCTGTTTGGGTCCGATGGACCTGACGTGTGTCTTACCAATCTCACCCGACCAACCCCTCTCTCAACCCGCCCCTTCCGCGAGCATGAGTGAGCGTCGAGTCGGTTTCCGAAGCCGAGGCCGGTGGACGGCGCCTCAGTGAGAAGGATGCCGAGAAGAAGGTCGAGGAGAAGGAGGAGAAGGGTGACAGCAAGGAGGCTGATCAGAAGGAGTTCAGAGATCTTCAGGGAGGAGATCAGAAACCGATGGGCATGTGGTGGGACGGCCAGCAGGCTCATGATGTTGTCAATGGTGACGGAGCAGGTGGATCTGATGCTCAGCGACCGGTGGGTATGTGGTGGGATGGCCAGCACTCTCATGATGTTGTCAATGGCGACGGAGCGGGTGGATCTGATGCTCAGCGACCGGTGGGTATGTGGTGGGATGGCCAGCACTCTCATGATGTTGTCAATGGTGACGGAGCGGGTGGATCTGATGCTCAGCGACCGGTGGGTATGTGGTGGGATGGCCAGCACTCTCATGATGTTGTCAATGGTGACGGAGCGGGTGGATCTGATGCTAAGCCACCGGTGGGTATGTGGTGGGATGGCCAGCACTCTCATGATGTTGTCAATGGTGACGGAGCGGGTGGATCTGATGCTAAGCCACCGGTGGGTATGTGGTGGGATGGCCAGCACTCTCATGATGTTGTCAATGGTGACGGAGCGGGTGGATCTGATGCTAAGCCACCGGTGGGTATGTGGTGGGATGGCCAGCACTCTCATGATGTTGTCAATGGTGACGGAGCTGATGGGCTAAGGGGTGGGTATGTGGTGGGATGGCCAGCACTCTCATGATGTTGTCATGGTGACGGATCTGATGGGTCCTTTTCTGGTGACCATGGTTACTGGATTGCTGGCCACACCGGTCATGATGGACACTGGGTGGAGGGCCACTGGAGCATGTATGGGGGACATGGGTCCTCTGGTTCCCACGTGCATATTATTGACGGGAGCATGTATGGTGGACATGGGTCCTCTGGTTCCCACGTGCATGTTGTTGACGGTGACCATGCTTACTGGATTGCTGGCCACACCGGCCATGATGGACACTGGATGGATGGGCACTGGAGCACAAGCGGTGGACAAGATGGGATGTATGTTCCCGGACATGGTTACTGGATTGTTGGCCACTCCGAACATGGACAGTGGGTGGAGGGCCACTGGAGCATGCATGCCGGTGGTTCCCACGTGCATATTGTCGATGGTGCCACTGGTTACTGGATTGCTGGCCACAGCGCTGCTGATGGACAATGGGTGCCTGCCCACTGGAGCACGCAGCCTGGAGAGGCGGTAGCCTATGTGGCCGGACATGGTTATTGGGTTGCTGGCCACACCGGTCAAGATGGACAGTCGGTGGATGGCCACTGGGTGATGACCTCCACTGGTCATATGATTTCCGGAGGTCATGCGATTTCCGACGAGGCTCCCGAGCACATCATCGAGAAGAACTACTACACTTACCACACCAAGACCCATGTCATCCACGATCCGGTGAAGGTTCCGGGCCGTGTCATCAGCAAGACTGTCAAGGTCCCCGCCGAGCCGTTGTACAACTGCTTTCAGGGCTACCACAGCTGGATGCTTGGCAAGGGTCCTCTTTGAAGCCCACAGAAAGGTACAGAAGTTCTGAACGGTAGATTTCACAGGCTCCGTCTCCATGCAAAACCTGGCTTTTTGGTTTGTAACAGTAGGGGTCAAGCGTTCAATTGAAACATGAAGCTCAGATGAACTCTGGACCGCTCGCTATCATGGCAACCAATTTCCTCGCTCTTGTTATTCCAGATGAAATTCGCCACAAGGCTCCAATTCTCTGCATGTTTCGCTATTCCACCAAGTTCATCCTATCTGACAATTTTACGGCGATCTTGGACTTGTAGAATTTGCAGATCCAAGGAAGACTCTTTGGAAGGAGGACCAGCAGAAGTACTGCTGTTACAAGTACAAGCGCAGCTGTGTGACCAAGACGTTGACGCAGCTGGGACACATCGAGACAGTGACAGAATCTCCAAAGTAGCCCTTTCTGGTTTTGAACATGTCAAGATGACATCAGAGCATCACCCAGTTTGTTGTGTTGGCGGGGGGGGGAGGTGAATTTGATAGGGAGAGACGGAAGGTGTGATTCTATCTGCCGGTATGTTGCACCTTTGCCGGCCCAGGGCACCCGATGTACTGACATTGGTCGACACAACATAGGAGATTGTGCGTTGCTGAGAGATCCGGGATTTTTGTTTCAAGCAGATGCAGATATTCGGATCACACCCATGTAGGGCTCTGAAACCGAATCTTGACTTGGGGGTTGATCAACATTCCTGATCCCCAAATGACCTTTTTCTTTTCTCCCCATTTTGTAGGACCTGTCATCTTTCTCTTTTTCTCGCGGTATCCAACCGATCCTTCCATGTACGGACCAGGCAGTACCACTACCACACCGTGGTGCACAACAAGGCGGGGCGGCTTCAGGTTCCAAGGGCAGAAACACGAACATGTTTCTGGCGGGTTTTTTTCCGCGGCGTTTTTGGTAGAAGAGCCACGGAAAAACGGGGGAGGCTCGTTGAAAAGACGTGAAGAGACACGGCCAGTTGGGCGGATTTGCCGAACTTTGCCGAGCTCCGCTGGTGGTTCACTCCATCTCTCCCACCAATGAACATGGAACCTGACTCTCGGGACCCGGTCCTATTAAAAGGAAAGTGGTCCAAACCAGGACCCCCCCTACGTCAGGTTCCGGCTGTTCATTTGTGGGAGGGTAACCCGCCCGGCGAAAACTAAAAGGACGACAACTACTGGATTACACGGGTAGCTGGGATCCACCAAAAAGAAGGCAACCCAACATGTTTGTTGGGTTTCTCCCTTCCCAGTGGATCCAACAAATTGTTTGTTGGGTATAGTTTCCCTTTCCCAGTGGATCCCAGCTACCCTTATAGCAACCACTTAAATATGGCCATGGGTCATAACCTATGCCTCGATTTTGGGGCGGATGAACACCCATGCACCTATTTTAATGTTCACCAGGGGTTTCCTGGGTTTTGACCCACCATATGGGTATGGGCCAAAATTCAGGAGCTTGGGTTACGCAGGCTTTAGTCTTTGCTTCCATTTACCAAGGGGCCATTTGGGGTACATTTTTTAGTACATCTTTTTGACCACCACAGCCATATCACCCCAAGTCTTTTCGGAGCGGCGCATCGGCGAGGAGATCCCGGTGCCCGTGCCCCATGCGGTGCCGGTGCCCATGGCGCCCCCCGCGCCCGAGGCGCTGGCGCGCTCGCGAGCGAGCGAATGGGATCCGATCAGTTGCCCCTAGAGGATGGTAGAAGGTTCATCTGGCCTTGATCATAGAAAAAGAATAATGAAAATAATAATAAAAATAATAATAATAACATATTTGGATGATAAGAGAATCCATGTTGTTTTTCTTCGTCGGGTAATCCATGTTTGTTTTCTTCACGTTTTTTTTTCTTCGTCTGTTTATGTTCACCCCCCAATGCTTGAAAGAGGGTTTGAGAAGAACGAGGATGTCAGTTCACTGGACCAAGCCCAACGTAGGTTGCAGGTTCCAAGCGCTGGCCGATCCCTTTGTACCAGGTTCTCATTTCGTTTGATGGATGGAACGCATAGTCGGGCATAAATCGAACATATCAAGGCACCAAAGGGTCCCTAGAGTTCTTAGCTCTCCCAAAAGGGTTACACTCCCTCAGGCGAACATGGCAGCTTTCAGAAGGCCTCTGTAACTGGATCCAAGTCTTCCATTTCGGGGTGGGAGCAATCCATGGAATCGCCGTAAGGTTCTGAGCAGGTCCCCCCGGCCACGCCCTTCTGTCCCGCTGTCCGCGGTGGGGCGGCGTGTTTCTGTCCCGGGGCTTCTGCCAGGTGATCAAGGTCCCGGTGAGGATGCCGCCGCCGCCCCGGAAGGTGATCAAGGCGCATGTCGGGGCGTGGATGGCGCCATGGGTGCCATAGGAACACGGGAATTTCTCCGATGGCTTTTGGGTTTCCTTGGGGCTTCTTCTTTTTTGAAACCACTGCAAACGTCCAGAAGGGTGAGAACCGCCCCCCATGAGTTTTTCTTTTTTTAGCTGCCGATGCAAATGTTTCGCGCTTTTTCGAGTTCATGTGCACGACATGTTCCCTTGGTGGCTCCCAGCCATCGCCTTAGCTTTTTAGATTTTTAGTGTTTAATGGGGATTCTCATTTAACTAAGAGTCAAACTTTTAGCAGGGATCTGAGGACAGCCCAGGTTCTGAGACGTACATGATGCATGCAGTGAGCCTCAGGCTGCTTCTGAAACGGTTGCTCTATGGGGGTTGATCAACAGGTCCCTTGTATGAGATGATCATTGGGGAAAACCCACTAAAAAGATGATATGTCCCACCAAAGGGGAAAAGTTGCCCGTGGTTATTTGGGGGCCAGGAATATTCATAAACCCCAATATGCAGCTGACCCGCTTCTTGCTGCAGTTTAGTAGTTGCACAGGGTCAGTCAGGTTTAGCATGGTAGCATTTACTGCGATCGTGCTGATATCCTACCGAGCTCTACGTATAGCAACAAGTACGCTACGGCCAAAACCAGCACGGCAACCCGCAAGGAGAAACCAGCCACCCCGCCACCCCGCCACCCAGCCACCCAGCCACCCAGCCACCCAGCCACCCAGCCACCCAGCCACCCAGCCACCCAGCCACCTAGCCACCCAGCCACCCAGCCACCCAGCCACCCAGCCACCCAGCCACCCAGCCACCCAGCCACCTGCCCAGCCCAGAACCCGGTGAGCAACCCAAGCCGTTGCAACACAGCCAAGAGCACAGCTTAGCACCAAACCAATCGCCAAACCAGCTGATAATACCACCCGCTCGCCACCTGCCCACCTGCCCATTTGCCCATTTGCCCACCTGCCCCCCAGCCTGCCTGCACACCCACCATTCCACCATTCCACCAACCCAAAGGACTGCGCAATATTCTTCATTGTGGAAGCTGCTCCACATGCCTTCCCTGCACAATGGTGCGTGGCCAATGCTCATTTGATACGCCGGGGATGGCACGGGCACATTGACACGGGGGCCAGGTGCCAGTGCCTGTGATGGTTCCAGGGCCTGAGCCAGAGGTGGAGACCAAGGCCGGAGCCGTGAAGGTTGGGGCTAGTCCCAAGCTCGGTGTGGAAGTGTTGCCCTTGTGATCCTTTTGGTGGTGAAGATTGGAAGCACAGCGCCTCGATCTTCAATCATCGCGCACTCTCTAGAAGTGGCATGTAAAAACGTTGTGCGGACCGCTGTTTTGCTCGGACGGGTGAGCACCGATCGCTTGCCGCAGATCATCAAGTACCCGAAGCCGGTGCCGGTGCCGGTGACGATTCACAGGGAGAAGGACATCCCGACCCCGGTGAAGCATACGAAGATCGTGCACTTCGACGTGCCCGTGCCCAGCCCCCCCAAGGTGGTCTACCATGATGTGAAGGCCGGGAAGGGGGAGCCGACAAACGAGCCATGGCACAGTCGGCCGCCGGAAAAGAGTTTGCTTCCGAGGTGAACTCTTATGCCTACGAGTGCGAGGACGGCCTGAGCGACTGGAAGGACACGAGCCAAAGAGATAGAAATCGTTCAAGAACAACTCTTTGCAGTCAGAAACTTTTGTCAAATCTGCACTCAACAAAGCGCACAAGTCCGCTTGAATCAGATCCCGAGAGAATGCTCTTCACCTTTTGCGACTTGCTCGATAAGTTTCGCATGCAGGATGCCTGGTCCCACTCAAAGCGGCTCTACTGCTGCTGGAAGACCAAAGTGGGATGCCCTCACAGCCACACGGTGGTGCATACCAAGTACATCTACCACACCAAGGAGGTGCCCAGGAAGGTGAACTTGCCCCCCAAGATCATCTACAAGGAGGTCACGGAGGAGGAGCACCACAAAGAGGTGCATCTGGATTGTTGCTCGGATGGAAGGCTGTTGCGCCCTCGGTCCGTGCCAGGGATGGGTCCGCCCCCATCTTCCAAAATGGGGGGGGGTTGACGGAGAACTTGGGTAAACCTTGGCAAACTGAAGAGGAGGCGCCCAAGATTGCGAGAACACTGAAGTGTTGTCAAAGTATAAGCATGCCTCGCTTTGGGGACATGCAGGTGTCACTTTCTCTATTGGCGCCCGTGTTGTCATGTACTACTTTCAGCATTTGGGGCATTTGGGTAGGCACAAGTTCAGCACTTGAAGCCAAACTGGTCAGGTCAGGCCAGCGTCAACTGACTTCTTGACATAGATCAGTATATAGTACAGTCTTGGTACGGAACCCTGTACCAAACATCCACAGCCACCTGGTCAGCTCTGAAGGTGTGGTTTGCTTAGTTACTAGGCTTAGTTTGAGAGGAGCTTTGCTTCGCATTACGCGAAGCCTCTGATCCATCGAGAGAGTTGCGGGGGCCAACCTGCAACTTGCGTGAGCTTGAGATTCTCTGTTTTTTGGTTGAGGCCATTCCGGCTATTCCAACTGGTACTACGGCTGGTCTTCGTTCAAGAAAGACTGGTGCTGCTCGCACGCTACTTGGACCTGGAATCGTTCTTTGAGGTTACATGAGGACCTTAGCCGAATCCACGCAGCTTCAGGCGCTGATTAGTTGCAATGGTGATTCATCAATTCACCCTGTCAGCATGATATTATATGTACAGTATGTGCAGATGTAATATACACATGTATATGCATAGAGCAGATTCTTCGACACATTGCCCATATTTGAGCACGCCTTCCCTTTGGCTAATTTGTAGCAGGCCACCAGTGCCAGACGTCGTTTCACGACAGATCCATCGCTTCCTGCTCTTTGGGTCTGTCGGTGTATCTTTCAGTTGCTACCCTTCTCTTGGCGGAGTCAAACGGTTTTTTCTTCGGGTTTGGGGTTTGGGGGGGTCACTTCTTTGGTTTGAGTGGGGAGGCCAACTCAAGAGGAATTGACTCACCTTCTTCTTCCACCGGGCTTCAGCCCAACAAAGAGACCGGCGCCTGCGCGCCTGAAGACCAGCGGCTGTGGGTCAACACCGTTTCGGGATCCCATTTTGGTTGGTGGGTGAATTCACCACCCATAGAACCTATTTCAGTGGTTGGATTGGGATGTTCACTGGAGCCACAATCGAAACCCGGGTAAGTGAAGGTTAGTAAGGGACATCCCAGCCATAAATAGCTGCAGATATCCGCCTTCTTAGTTCCAGAAGCATGGTTCTGGGATTACGGCCATTTTTGATACCGGGTTTTGATTGTGCACGACTCCAGGTTTTTGATACCGGGTTTTTGATACCGGGTGTTGATACCGACTCCAGTGAACGGGACCCACTCCCCACCCACCTTTTTGAGGTCCTATTTTTTTGGGTGGTGAATTTTCCTACCGACCAAGTTGCCAACGGGTCCCGTTCACTGGGGGAGATCCCATGGCCGGAGATCCGAGGAGCAGCTGGGCTGCCCGGGCACCTGGAAGGGCTTCGCGCACGGCCACGCCCACGGCCACTGGGAGGCCCACGGCCACATCGAGGCCCACGGCCACGGACACGTGGGCGCCTGGGACGCAGAAAAAGAACCGAACCTCCCCATTTGTTTAAGACGATGTTTTGTTTTTTCTTCCCCTTGGCTGGTTTTAAAAGGAATTTGTCACTACTGGGCATATTTTATTTTTTCCAGGGGTCTTAACCAAATGGAAGAAAAGGGGGAGGGCCTGGGTTGGGGGTGGCTTGTTTTGCTTTTTGGACCTACCCAACATGGGTGGACACGTCCTTTTGGTGTCCATTTCAAAAACCACACAAAAAGGGGGGACCCTCAACACAGACACACCAGTTTGTCTTTGAATTGAAGAGATCAGTTCTTTTTTCCCCGTGAGTCCCATGAGACTCAGTTTGATTTGTAGGTTGCCAGAATTTGCTTCGAGACACCCAAATCGCGGCCAGTTGAAGGTGCGGCGTGCCGTTTGTGTTGCCGGCGATCTTTGTTTTAGGAGACGGCTGCCGCAGGTAATGAGCATTTGTGTCCCCCCTGGGAGCTGCATTCAGCTCATGCTGGGTCTGGTGCCTATCGTTTCATGGAAAGCCGACGGTTTCTCTATGACACATTATTGTCGGAGTTGCAACCAAAGTGGACTTCTGAAACCCGAAACGACGTCCACCCCCCCCAATTTGGGGGGTCGAGTTAAAATCTAGCCACAGGCGGTGTGGTCACCCGCCGGTTTGCTTCAAGGCATTGCCACGGGGAGGATCTACGACTGCCAGGTGCGGCCTGAGTTGACAGTGGGACCAGATCAGCAGAGCCAGGTTCTACATGGGTCTGAATCTTAACGGGCCCTGGACGCTTTGGTGGACATTACTCAGGGGGCATTTAAACGTGTCCACGAACCACTTTTTGAGGTGGTTCCCCAGCAAAAATCCTTGCAAAGGGCTTTTTGGGCAAACAAATCTCAAGCTTCGCACATGCTCCCCCCCTGGCAGATGCCACACGGAAGTATCCAACTGAGGGCTGTAAAAGCAACTTCGCCCAGTTGGACTCTTCCTGCAGGACATGTTTTGGTGGTTTCAAGACATGGCCATTTCTTGGGAAGTTGACAGACCTCTATCAGTTGGCTGACAATGGTTGCTTCTTTCGGAACAGTTGACGGTCTTCAGGCGGTCAACGATTAAAGGAAGCATTACTTCTATGGCAAGCCTCTTTCGAACGTCAAGATTGTACTTCATCGAAGGGGTGGGCAATAAACAACAATGGAGTATCGACTCGGCTATTCGCGAGTCACGGCGAGTCTCGCGAGTCACGTCCCTTTTGTCGCGTCCGTGTCGGGTGCAGGCGGGATTCAACAACTGGCTGCACGGCTGGTCTGACTCCAAGAAGCACTGGTGCTGCCAGAAGGCAAGGGGAGTTCTTCGAGAGGTCAAAGAGGGGAGGAGGGCGGCGTGTTTTTTTTTTTTTGCCGGCTGGGAAAGTCGGAGCAAGGAAGATGCAATTGCAGTTCGGGGTGAAAAAGGTCCATGAAATGTGTGTGCGCAAGCGCGTGTGTGTGTGTGTGTGTTTCTAAGAAAGGCTTTGGTACTGCCAGCTTCTGGGTTCAAGTGACAGCGCCAAATCCCTTTGGGTGACCCACAAGGCTCTGATGGCTTGCAACGCGTCTTGAGCCTGGGACTCATCTTTAGCTTCCCGAATAGCGGCAAGGGATGCAGAGTCTTCTCACGTGCGACCATGTCCTATGTTTTGTGGCTGACCTTTTTCTGGATGTTTGCGGGAATCCAGATGTTGTTGAATCCGGGGCACAAGGTAGGCAAGGCAAAGGATGGATCTGGCCTGCTTCCAGCCCGCATGTGCTTTTGTTTTATGTGAGGCTCCGCTCGAACAAAGAAGCCTGCCACGATTTGAGCGTGTCTTTTGTTGAGGTTACCCCTGTTCAAAGGACACCAAAAGGGAGCTTTCTTTCGTTTGTTGGGGGGAGGGACCCTTAAAAAATGCACACCCGTGTTGCTGGATCTCAGCAGGGAACGAGAATTGGTATGGCCCCTAAAAAAACAACCTATCCATCCGATTTGGCTTTCTTGATTCGGATTCGAATCCCCAAAACCGGTTATGACCCCTATAAACAACCCATCCATCCGATTTGGCTTCCTTTATTCGGAAAATCCCCAAAACCGGTTCATTCCAGGTTCATCCCCCGCCCGACTCGTCATTCCCCCTAGCAGCCTCCGGACTCGTTGGAGGAGTCCAAGGGCTGCGTGCCTTACAACTCCTGCGACGACGACCTCGGCTCATGGCAGGGGCCTTGAAAGCGGAAAGCGGAAAGCGGGGGTGCCATCACTTGACTGCTATTGGGTTGGATCTGTAGACTTCAATTTTTTGGGGAAATCAAGTTGGGTTTTTTCCACAACCCCCCCCCCCCAAAAAGTTGAACTTTTTGCAAGGGGGTCAACATCAACCAAGATCAACAACCGCGATTCGGGAGGAGTGAGGGTGCTGCAGTACCCAAAGTTGTTGACCTCATGTCGCAGTTCCGGCCCTGCGCTTTTCATTGTTGGGAGGCCAAACAGAGGCACAACCATCAAATCCAATAGCAAGGGAGATGCCTGGTGCAACGGGACACACCTGGCCGACTGACATGTTGGATGCGTCGGTGCTGTGGTGGTTGGTGGTTAGCTGCGCGTTTGTAAGGGTCATTGAAAGAATTCCAGGAATCCTTCCTTGCCCAAGCGTTTCAAGCTCGGCACAGCTCTACTTGGCACTGGGTGGAGCTCTGCTCAGGTCTTCCAAAAAGCAGGAGTGGTGCTGCGGCAACTTCCAGAAGGGCTGCCCCCACACCACTCTGTCGCCTTTGGGCTGCGACGCCCCCTGCACCCTCCACGGCGAGACCTCTGTGTGCAAGGCGAGCAAAGCCCGCAAAAGGTGAGGGCAAGCTTGGCCTGAGGTCAGTTTGGTTCGAAGATGGATTCATAGATGGCAGTTTTGAGGTAACAATTTATTGCTATCCAACATATCCGAAAGGACACCCAGGGTGAGGAAAGCCTGCAGCCCTAAGGTTGTCTTGTTCAGAACACGCCCCGGTTCACCCCCTGGCCACGTCCTGTGCCGATAAGAGCGTTTGTCGCTGACAGGCGCGCTTGAGCGTCTGCCACGTACATTAACTAATTACACTTAGTCGTCCAGAATGTGAGCATATGGGGACCCCCCTAAAAAGAAGAAGATGACAAATAATACTAGTAATAAAATAATAATAATAATAATAATAATAATAATAATAATAATAATAATAATAATAATAATAATAATAATAATAATAATAATAATAATAATAATAATAATATAGGGGTCCTGCACTCCGGGTCCCTGGCGGAATCAGCCAGCCAGCCAGCCAGGGAAATGTCCGGCGGAATCAGCCAGCCAGCCAAAGAAATGCCCGGCGGAATCAGCCAAGCAACCAAGACGGCGGAATCAGCCAGCCAGCCAAGGAGATGCCCGGCGGAATCAGCCAGCCAGCCAAGGAGATGCCCGGCGGAATCAGCCAGCCAGCCCAGGAGATGCCCGGCAGATAGAGAGATTGGTAGATAGAGAGAGGTTGGTAGATAGATGCAGGGAGAGATAGGTAGATAGAGAAAGAGAGATAGATAGAGAGATAGAGAGAGAGACAAAGAGAGACAGAGAGAGACAGAGAGAGACAGAGAGAGAGAGAGAGAGAAAAAGAGAGTCAGAGAGAGGGGGAGATGGGTAGATAGAGAGAGGGAGAGAGATAGGTAGAGTGGTAGGCAACTATATATATATATTTATATATATATATATATCTCTAATTATATATATATATATTTATGTATGTAGATAGGTAGATAGAGAAATATGTACGTATCTATACATATGTAGATGGATCGGCATATATCGAGAGAGGCAGAGAGATTTGCACATAGAGAGAGAGAGAGAGATTTGCAGATAGAGAGAGAGAGAGAGAGAGAGATGGGTAGATAGAGAAAGATGTAGATATATTTATATATATATATATTGTGATAGAGGGATAGAGAGAGAGTGAGATAGGTCGATAGAGAGAGAGATAGGTAGATAGAGAAGTATGTAGATAGATATATGCATATACATGTAGATAGATAGGTCGGTACAGAGAGAGAGAGATAGGTGAATATAGAGAGAACTAGGCAGATAGAGAAAGATGTAGATAGATAGATAGAGAGATGGAAAGGCAGATAGGTATAGAGAGAGAGAGAGAGAGAGAGAAATGTAGACATAGAGAGAGAGGTAGGTTGATTGAGAATTATGTAGAGAGTTGTATATACATATGTAGATGGATAGGTAGATAAAGAGATATGTATAAATATATATATATATATTTATGTAGACAGACCGGTGTATATATATATATACAGAGAGAGAGGTTGACAGATGCAGAGAGATATGTAGATAGGGAAAGATGTAGATAGAAGTTTAGGTAGGAAAAATGTAGATCTATACAGAGAGAGAGAGAGATAGGTAGACAAAGCAATATATATATATATATATATTTATGTGTGTAGACAGATAGGTCTACAAAAAGCAGATAAAACATATATAGAAAGATTTGGAGACAGAGGGAGGGAGAGATAGGTAGTTAGAGAGAGAGAGACAGAGAGATCAGTAGATAGAGAAGTATGTAGCTAGATATATGCATACACATTTAGATAGATAATTCGGTAGAGAGAGAGATATATAAGTGAATATAGAGAGAGAACTAGGCAGATAGAGAAAGATGTAGAGAGATAGGTAGATAGAGAGATAGAGAGGCAGATAGGTGTAGAGAGAGAGAGAGAGATAAATGTAGATATAGAGAGAGGGAGAGAGACAGGTAGATCGAAAAATATGTGTATATAAATGTGTAGATATAGAGGGAGAGAGGGATAGGTAGATAGAGAGAGAGAGACAGGTAGATAGGGAAGTATGTAGATAGATATACACATATAGATGTAGATAGATAGGCCGGTAGAGCGAGAGAGAGAGAGAGAAAGAGAGATAGGTGAATATAGACAGAGAACCAGGTAGATAGAGAAAGATGTAGATAGGTATTTAGATAGAGAGGTAGAGAGAGATAGGTGTACATAGGGAGAGCGAGGGAGATAGGTATATTTAGGGAGAGGGAGATATGTAGATAGAGAGAGATAGGTAAATAGAGAAAGATGTAGATAGATACATAGATAGTGAGATAGAGAAAAAGATAGGTATTCAGAGAGAGAGAGAGAGATAGGTATATATGTAGAGAGAGGGGGAGATAGGTAGATAGAGAGGGAGAGAGAGATAGCTAGATAGAGAAACATGTAGGTTTTTATACATATATATATATTTACATGTAGAGAGATAGATGGTTAGAGAAATATGCAGACACACATATATCTATATATATTTATATGTGCAGGTGGATCGGTATACATCGAGAGACAGAGGGATTGGTAGCGAGAGAGAGAGATGGGTAGATAGAGAAAGACGCAAATAGATTTGTAGATAGAGATAGAGAGAGATAGGTAGATATCTGCTTCATCTGAAAGCGCTCGAACAAGCTCAGTCTGCTTCATCTGAAACCCATGTAGCAGTCAGCAAGCCTTATCTTGAAAAGCACATCTGCAAAACAATCCAACATGTCTGCTTCATCTAGTTTACAGTGTTCTCTTGCATTCCACACTCTGGGTGTGGATCATGGGGGGGTGACCATATATATATATCTATATATGCATATAGAGAGAGAGAGATGGTATAGATGGGCGGAGATATATTTAGATAAATAGATAGACAGATAGTAAGTTAGATGAATATTGATATGTGTTTATAGCTATATCTTGATACATATACTCAGAGAGAGTGATATAGACACTTGTTTAGATAAAGATAGATATAGGAAGACCGGTAGATATATTTTATAGATTGATATAGACGGAAAGAAAGATAGATATAGATGTAGATGTAGGTGTAAATTCAGCGCAGATAGACATATATATATATATATCTCTGCCTATACAGATAGACATGGATAGATATAGATAGACCTTAAGCGTAATGTATATAGGTACAGGTCTAGATGAATATAGATTGGGCCGGATTGGGCCGCCCGCCCCAAACACTTTACATCGACCCTAAACCCATCTTAAACCCACCAACCCAAACCAAGCCCGCCCGAAACCCACCTCAAACCCAATCAAGGGTTTTTTGCTTTGTTGTGCAGCAAAATTGTGCCCAACAAGTTTTGCTTGACACCCAATAAGTTTTTGTTTTCTGATCTTTGGAAATAAGATTTGTTTGATGCTTAATAACTTTGTTTTGATGCTTCACCCTGCAAGGACACCATGTACTTGGAATAGTTTCTAGGACATAAAGCTGGCTGTAGCGGGCTCTTCGGGACTCCTTACTTGCAGGCTCAACACCTCCCTCCATTGAAACAAACACTCCGTGGATTAGGGCATGGTGTTTTTTCCGTGCGCAGTCACTGTTGGGAGCTGGCCTATTCCTGCCCCCTGCAAACACTTAAGAAGTCCGTGAAATTTTGGGCTTGCAAAAGCACGATCAACACACACACACACACCGAACAACAAGCCGACACACGTTAGTTGATTTTGTTGTTCGCGACAATTCATTGCGTATGTTGCTGGATTGATCCCTGCAGACTTCCGCTGTCATGTGCCTTGCGCTGAATCTGTATGTTTTCGGTTAGCTTCGTTCGCAGGGCTGAGATAGATAGATAGATAGATAGATAGATTTCAGCCTAAAAAGATAAACGGAAATATAGGGAGAGAGAGAGAGAGAGAGAGACAGGTAGATAGAGAAAGGGGTAGATGGGCAGATATACAAATAGATAGAGACAGATGTGGGTAGGTAGATTTAGAGGTGGAAAGATAGAGGGAGAGAGAGAGAGAGGGGGTGGTATTGGTAGGGGTAGATGTATGTCTATATAGGTAGGCAGGTATATAGGAAGAGCGATAGGCAGATAGAGAAAGATGCAGGTAGTTAGATTCGATAGGGAGAGAGATAGGTAGATAGAGAACATGTAGATAGATAGGATTTAGATAGGTAGAGAGAGAGGGGGGGGATTGATAGATAGCTATGCAGAGATAGAAAGATGGATAGATAGACTGATGACAGGAAAGTAGGACAGAGATAGGTAGATAGAGAAAGGTATTTTATAGGTAGAGAGATAGAGAGATCTAGGTAGATAGAGGGAGAGAGGTAGTCATAAATGTAGAAAGAGAGACATAGGTAGATAGAGAAAGATGTTGAAATATAGATAGAGGGAGGGATATAGAGAGAGATAGATAGAGATAGAGATAGGTAGATAGAGAGATTAAATCGACTACATACATAGATAGACAGAAAGAAAGTTAGATGGAAAGAGGGAGAGAGCGAGAGAGAGGTAGATCGATAGATAGAAAGATGGACAGGCAGAGAGATAGATAGGTCGGTAGATAGATCACTAGATAGGTGAGTAGGTAGGTTGAAACAAGTAGATAGATAGATAGACAGATAGATAGATTGTTAGATAGATAGATAGATAGACAGATAGATAGATAGATAGAGGTCGATAAAGAGAGAGATCGATAGTTACTTAGATAGGAAGATAGAAAGATGGAGAGACAGATAGAGATAGATAGATGGTTACATAGATAGAAAGATGAAACAGATAGATAAACAGGTACGCAAGCAGAAGGTAAATAGATAGATAGATAGATAGAAAGATAAATGGATTAGATAAGTAGATGGTTAGATAGGTAGTTACATAGATGAATAGATAGACAGATAGATAGATAGATAGATATAGAGAGAGAGATAGATAGATAGGTAGATAGGTTGATGAATAGGTTGGCAGGTAAGTAGATAGATGAATAGAGACAGATATGTAGGTAGATTTTAGAGAGACAAAGAGAATTGGATAGGCAGATAGATAAATAGGTAGGTCGGTAGACGGATAAGTAGCTGGGTACGTAGATAGATAGATAGATCGATAGATAGATAGATACAAAGAGAGAGAGAGATGTTGGTAGGTAGATAGACAGAGGTAGATAGATAGATTTATGTATTTACAGATAGACAGATATATAGAGCGAGAGGTAGGTAGAAAGAGAGTTAAGCAGATAGAGAGAGAGAGAGAGAGAGGTGGATAGATAGATAGATAGATAGATAGACAAATGGATATAGAGATAGAGAGATAAGTAGTCAAGAGAGAGAGAGAGAGAGAAAAAGAAACAGAGAGACAGATGGCTAGATACATAGAGTGAGAAAGAGAGATAGAGAGATAGATAGAGAGATACATAGACGGAGGTATATAGATAGAGAGCGAGATCGAGATAGATATTGAATAGATACACAGACAGATGAGTAGGTACGTAGGCAGGTAGAGAAATAGTTAGGTAGGTCGATAGATAATAGACTAGATAGACGGACAGATGGCAAGATAGATGAAGAGATAGATAGGTAGATAAATAGAGAGAGATAGATAGATAGGTTGGTAGATAGATAAATTGACAAGTGAGTAGGTAGGTTGAAACAAGGTAGATAGTAAGATAGATAGATAGATAGATAGATTGACTGATTGATTGATTGATTGATTGATTGATTGATTGATTGATTGATTGATTGATTGATTGATTGATTGATTGATTGATTGATTGATTAACTGATTGACTGATAGAGAGAGAGAGAGAGGTAGATAAACATGAGGGAGAGAGATAGACAGGTGTATAGAGAGAAAGGGACAGATAGATAGATAGATGGATGGATGGATGGATAGATAGGCAGACAGAATACATCGATAGATAGGTAAATAAATAGACAGACAGATAGATAGATAGATAGATAGATAGATAAAGAGAAATATAGATAGATAGACTTGCAGATGGCTTGATAAATAAGTAGGGGTGTAGATAGATAAATAGGGATAGATAGGTAGGTAGATAGATAGATGGAGAGACAGAGAGAGATAGACAGGCAGATAAACCAACGGGCAGGTAGGTAGATGGATAAATGGATAGGTACGTAGATGATAGATAGGAAGACAGAGAAACAGAGAGAGAGAGAGAGGGAGATAGAGAGATAAATGGGTAGATAGATAGATGGATAGAGATAGAGAGATAGATAGACAGACCGGTAGATAGATTGATAAGAACTAGGTACATAGGCAGGCAGATAAATAGATAGGTAGGTGACCGGTGGATAGATTATAGACTAGGTAGATGGACATGTAGAAAGATAGATGGAGAGAGAGAGAGAAAAACACACAGACAGATAGATGGAGAGATAGAGAAAGAGAGAGAGATAGAGAGAGATAGAGAGATAGATAGAGAGGTAGGGAGATCGAGAGATAGAGAGCTAGATAGATAGATAGATAGATAGATAGATAATGAAAGTTCATATCCATGTAAAACCGCCAATGGAAGTTCACCTATTGGCCAGGTTCCCGAAAATTAGGGCGTACTGGAAACCACCGGAAAGGGACATGTAGGGACCCGTATTGGATGTTTCAACCCAGTTGGTAGGTGCAGGACTTAGTGGCCCGCGGGTTTTTTCTCGTAGTTGCAACATTCGTAAATGTTTGGCCCCGTTGCGGGGGGGGGGGGGGGATGCCTCGAACGAGCGTTCTTATCGATTTGGGCAGTAGATGCAAGATCGAACGCGCAGAAAAGAAAAACCGATGCGGTCCAGCGCCAGTCAAACTCGGGGTAGCGACTGGGAGAAGTGGGATTTGACGCCTTATAACCTTTGCTAATTGGGTTGAACATCACCATACTTGGGTGACAAATCAACAGGAGTTGGTTGACTTAGAACCACCTTCATAGGGTGCAAGCAAGTTCATGGAGGTGTCCTCGCACCGGAACCTCAAGGGGGGCTCAGGAGGACCATGGCTTTAGGAACCCACCGGCGGAATCAGCCAGCCAGCCAAAGAAATGCTCAGCGGAACCCTCCTGTTGGAAGAAACCGGACGTATACAAAAACCAGTTTTTGTAAACGACCATTTCTCATCAGAGCTACGCACCGGCAGAATCAGACAGCTAAGGAAACGCCCATGCGGAAACCTTCTGTTGGAAGACGCCGGCCGTATACAAAAGCCAGCTTTTGTAAACCACCGCTTCTGGTCGGAGCCAGCCTGCGGAATCGGCCAGCAAGCCGGCCTGGAATCCACCGGCGGAATCAGCCGGCCAGCCTGCCAAGAAAATGCCCGGCGGAATCAGCCAGTCAGCCAAGGAGATGCCCGGCGGAATCAGGCAGTCAGCCAAGGACACGCCCGGCGGAATCAGCCAGCCAGCCAAGGAGATACCCGGCGGAATCAGCCAGCCAGCCAAGGAGATGCCCGGCGGAACCAGCCAGCAAAAAAAAAAGGCGGCTGGCGGCTGAAACTCTGAGACCCAGCTGTGTCCAAAATTGGCGGCTGGCGGATTTCAGCTTAGGCCCCGAACTCCAGGACCTCTATAATAATAATAATAATAATAATAACAATACTACTACTACTACTACTACTACTACTACTACTACTACTACTACTACTACTACTACTACTACTACTACTAGTAATAATAATATGGTTTTCCTTTTGGTTTATCCTTGAACCAACCGCAAAAAGGGAACCAACTCAAAACAAAACAAAAACAGGCCCCTTATATGGTCAGGTTTCTGCATGCGTTGAACATGTGGCCAGCTCCAGCCTCTGTGGAGCTTTGGAGAGGCCCGCATCCACTGGACCGCCAACAACGTGTTCCAGACACATGGGAACCCTTGCGCTCTGGCCTACAGCAAGGTTCAGGCCCGGCACCTGACTCGTTTGGGTTGAAAAAGGTAGCGAGTGGACATCCTCAAAACCGGGTAGATGAAGGTGAGGGACTGTTTATTTGTCAAAAATGGGTGCCTTCACCGACCTTAATTCTTGAAGCATGGTGCTGGGTGGACCAATTTGATACCAGGTTTTGATTGTGACTCTGCTGTGGTTGGATTTCTCTTGCGAGGGTTCGCGCCGCCCATTGGGCAAGGAAGGAACCTCCTGTTTTGTTCTTTTCCGGAGGTTCTTTAAGCAGTTGCTGCGATATGATGGGAGGTCGTGGGAGTCTCGCTTGCCTGTTACATGCTTAAGGATTATTCAAAGAATCCGGCGAGAGCGTGCACCATGCCTGCCAAAACCACTGGTCTACTGTTTGGAGAGGACCTGGACACCCGAGCTGTCCCTTTCCCTTTTGAAAGGAGCCCATAGGGATGGTTCATGGGGGTCATTCCGTCATTCCCTGCTGAGAACCAGCTAAAAGAACAAGACATTGTTATAAGAGCTGGTGCACAACGCTGGTGGCCATCAAGACCCCTGAGCGTTTGGCCAGTAGTGACCCGACTGGAGAGTTGATTGCTGTGGGCCTATGGCCTTTGCACCGTAAAATGTTTTCTCGGCAGGGATACCTACCAGCACCTTGGCCTTGTCATAAATTTTAAGCGAATCCCAAAACGGCTCATTTTCGCCTGGGTCATTCCCTATCGCACCAGCGAGTCTTGTTGGACACCTAGCGAAACCCGCCCAGTCTGGTAGTGCGGTCGAGCTAGCGGGTCGAGCGGTGCCGGAGGAAACTTGCGTTACCGTGATGCCAGGAAAGACATTTACACCTTGCATGAGGCTTAGGAAAACTGAGGTAGGAGGATTGTTGCAGAACAAATCAAGGCCGCACGGATGGAACACATTGAAGGTAAGCGCAAGCTATGTCAATCAACAGCCAGTCTGCAACACAGGCTGCTTGAATGCCCTGCCGCAGAGCATTTGAGGGATGAGGCCACATGGGTGTGGCTCAAAATTAAAGAGCTAGGGTTACGCAAATGATAGTCTTTGATTCCATTTACCAAGCTGCCATTTTGCTACCAGTTTTTGAGCCACACCCACATGCCCTGTGCACGTACCAACTTTTTGTGCCGCCCCAGTGCCATTGCTCATCAAAATCCGTAAAGAGCAGCATCTAAGCAATAGCAGACGTGAGCCTTGCAAGTAGATCTTTGACCTAGCCTATCCGCCGTCGTCGGGCGTTTTTAGTGAGTGACTTGGACAGGCGTCAAGCCAAGAACCAGTTGAAATGTCGCGTACCTGGATAGTTCCCACGTGGTTGCCTTGGCAAAAGCAAAGACTTGCAAGACTCCCAAGTTGGGCAGTGCAACTTTACACTTGAAATTGTTGCATATGAATACTTGACTTTCTTTGTGAGATGGGAGAGAACATGGAGAAGGAATTCCCAATGTAAGGAGGGCCCTGACGTACTCGGGGCACAAAGCTGTCAGTGTCACGCACGGGGACTAGCCACCGAAACTTCCCACATCCTCTTGGGAAACGACATGGGTGTGCCCCGCCCATTTTTCGGCAGTTTTGAAGGCAAAAACAAGAGGACTGCATGGATGGACAAAATTCTGCACCAGTTGGGATGGATGAAGCATGAGAAACCCTTGTGAATTGTGGGATAAACCTGGGTACGCCAGCCGCCAAGTGGTGCAGGATTTGGTCCATCCGCGGTCCCACCTTGGTTGGGGTGCAACCTCCCAAAAACCCCCCCCCCCCCCCAATTCGACCCCTCCAAAAAACCGACCCGCCCCTGAACCCCCTCCCCCCCTCCCAAATCCCATGTTCTTCTTTCGGCGCGGCCGTAGCCCCAGCCGCAGCCGCAGCCCCCGCCGGTCAGCGCCCCGCAGGTGGAGTGCGATGTCTGCCGCGCCTGCTCCATCGCGGCTGCGGGCTGCGAGGTGAGCGGCGGCGCCGGCAGCGAGCCCTACGACTGCCGCGCCGGCGTGTTTTTTTGTTTTTGGTTTTTGGGTTTTTCGGGGGCGGTCGGATGGCTCCCGGCCCTCCGATTCCAACTAGATGTTTAGTTGGGAGCCCTCCGAGTCCTTAGCTTTTATAAGCTTTTTAGTGGGTTTAGTGGGGTTTTCCATGCACCAACCTTGGGGTTTAGTGGGGTTTTCCCACTTTTGGCAGGGGATCTGAGGACAGCCCAGTCTTGCATTGAGTTGGTACCCTTTTTGTGGTTGCGTTGAAGGGAAACCAAAAGGAGAAACATCATTTTCAGGTTATTTGGATACACACCCAGAAAGCTCCAGTTTCGTGACGCAGGCGTTTTATTTTTTATTTTTATTTTTGCTTGGTCTTTCCTCTTCTTTTTTTTCTTCCGGGGGGGGAGGAGATGGAGTTCGGCTTGGCTTTTGGTGCCCCTTTACAACCCATCCCAAAAGGGTACCCTCCAAAAAAAAGAGAGACGCTTATGTATTGTTGGGCCGTATCCCTATGGATTTGAGAGAGTCGTCGTCCCGAGCAGTGGCATGTGATGGCCTGCGCAATGCGGCAGCAGTCTTTGGCGGGACGCCAGGCAATGCTGCGCTGAACAACTTCTTCCGCGCCTGGTCGCCTGAGAAGAAGCCTCTCGCCTCAACTGGACATTTTTGTTGCGTCTGCTTTGGGGGTTGGATTGGGTTGGTTATTCACCGAACCATGTTACTTGAAACCATGGTTCCCTTAATGGCAAACCATTTCTTGGACCCAGTAATGTTGACCCAGGAGTAATAAACCCGTTCCACTATTAGGGGGGTGTTCCCTCCAAAACCCCACTAAAAGCGACACCCCCCTATTAATCAACCAGGCCGGGATTAACATGATGTCCGGCCCAGGAAGTGGTGCTGCGGCAACAAGTACAAGGGCTGCGAGGGAAACAGCCCACCCGGCGTGGACCCCGGTGCGGGCATGATGTGGAAGCACGTGCAGGCCATGTCGACGGTTGCCTGCTACTCGAGCTCTCGCTAAGCCCGTGGTTTCTTGTGGCCAGAAGAAGTCAGCCGGGAAAACAGGGGAGGAGAGATACCAGTGATCTTCTTCCATTTGCTTAATAATAGTCTGTTTTTGTTTGCCCCTGTTGGTTTGAAAGGGAATCTATCACTACTGGAAATATGTTTGTTTTTTTCCAGGGGTCTTAACCAAATGGATCTCTTGGCGCGGATGCTCTCCCGCCATGTTGCAGTGCAGGTGAACGGCTACTGGACCTGGGTGGTGGCTGGTGCTGCCGGCGGCGGAGCTGCCGGCGGCGCAGCTGGCGGCGGTGTTGCCAGCCTGCCCTACGACTGCCACGTGGGCCTGGTGAATTGGAAGCGCCTCGGAGAAGCCGCGAGTTGAGGTGCTTACCTGCGCGGCTCTGCGCGGCTTGCGGCGTGTGCGTGCGAGCTGCGTGTTTGCGCCAGTCAGCATGCGGCTATGGATATGGGCTGTTGGAGTTTCTCCTTTTGACTCCCCTGGGAGCTGTGAAAGGCTGACCTTTTTTACGCACATTTGGCTGTGGCTCAAGATTAAAGAGGGGGGGCAAACCCGCAAACCGCGGGTTTTGGTCCATTCCACTTACCAGGGCAAGCCATTTTGGAATTCCTTTTGTTTTTTGAGCCACAAGGATCGGCTGGTCGGACCCGAAGAAGGGCTGGTGCTGCACCCACCAGAAGCTGGGCTGCCCCGGCATGGGCGGCGGCGGCGGCGGGGGCGCTGCCGCGCGGCAGGAAGAGCGAACACGTGGGGCCCGGGCTGTGTTTTTCATCTTCATATTTTTTTCTGCTTTCCGACTACCAGACAAAGGTGTTTTCTCTTGGAGGTTTGCCAAACTTGTCCCGAAGGCTCATCCTGAATGAGGGTCATTTCAGCTTGGCAGTTACCTATGGCTTGGCTCTTCTTGGCTGGGAGCCAACAGCAGGATGAGCTGCCATGCATGCATAGACTGCATGTATTTTTGGCTGCGTGCGTTCCCTTTTCCACTGCAACATGTGATGGCTTCACGGAGACAAGCCTTCCGCTGCCCACAAAATCCACGGAGCCACATCAAGGAGTCCTGGTTATGCACACATGAATAGGGTTTGGTTCAATTCCTGAATACTGCCAGCTTAGCACCAACCGCACACCCACCCAAAAGCGCCCTAAAGAAATACTTACGCACACACACACACACAAAACACACCCTAAACGCCCCCTACACACCCACCAAAATCCGCGCGACACCAATGTTAATCCAATCCGACACCCATGCTGAGCCCATCTGAAACCCAGGTCGAACGAAGAGTGGTGAAGTCGAGGGGTGTCAAAGATAGCTAAAAGGGAGGGGAGAACAGCGCGAACATGAAGTCGAAGGGCGCCCTTCCTGAAACGTATGATGACAATTGCCAAAGCACGGCATTCCAACGTGAAACAGGCAAGACTCCAAAGCTGACGCTATTCGTCCAGACGGCCATGAACTCTGCACACAAGCGAGGCCATCATGCTGAGCACATCATTTTGCACTTCTTCCTTGTTATTCCAAAGTGACTCAGATTAGGAATTGTAGTTGCTGTCCCCAGCTGGTGTGACTTGGCAACCGAGATGAACCATTTTGAGGTGACTACGCACTCCTACCACGTGCACTACAGCAGCGGCGGCGGCGGCGGCGGCGGCGGCGGCGCGGCGGGCGGAGGTTCCTGGCACTCGGGCGGAGGATCCTGGCACTCGGGCGGCGGCTCGTGGTCCAGCAGCGGAGGGGTGACCCACCACTACCACGTGCACCATGACGTGCATGTGATCCACCACAACCGCCGGCTGGGCGATTTGGATGGCCCAGGCTGGCCAGCTCAATGCGAGGGTGGAACTTGTTTCTTTATGTTTCTTTGGTGCGACGGGGTGTTTTCAGTGTCATGCGCCATCTCGCCTCCTTTTCCCTCGAAAACTGTCACATTTGAAGGTTCACGATGCTGACTTGATTGTTGATTGATTGTTTGCTTGCTTGCTTGCTTGTTTGTTTGTTTGTTTGTTTGTTTGTTTGTTTGTTTGTTTGTTTGTTTGTTTGTTTGTTTGTTTGCTTTCTTGCTTGTTTGTTTTGGTTCGTTTTTCCTTTGTCTGGTTTGGATTGGTTTGGATTAATCTTTTTTTTGTTTGTTTGCTCGAGGTAGAGACACACACACACACACAAACACACACACATGGCACATGCAGCAACTGCTTATGGGATTCCCTCCTTTTGCTTGAGCAGCTCGGCAGGCTTCGATTGTACTGCTGCAAATGGATCGGCATGGCCCCAGGACGGACGGCTGCTATTTTGCTGCTGCCATGTTGCTGCCGCTGCCAGGGTTTTGTGAGTGTGAGTGTATTTTGACATCGCTCGTGCAATGTGCCTGTGCAGTAGCTTAATGCCTTGCGCGCTTTCTGCACGAATGGTTGTTGTCATGCAGTCATGGTCTCAATGACCCGTCAGCTATGTCCACCTGTGAGGGCAGGCGTTTTAACTGGAAGACCAGAAATCATATTATGGGTGTGCGGGTGGGGAAAATCAAAAGGCCACGCGATTCCACTTGGCTTGCCAAAATTTTGCCTCGACCCAGGAGAAGAGGGACTTTTGCTGTAAGCAGGACCCAAGCCTTTGTGAGTGAGCAGGCCGGGAGCAACACAGAATCTGTTCGTCAGAGGTTCATCCCACGCTATCCATACAAATCCAGGTCCTGCGCCGGAGGGTTTGGGTTTGTATGGAATACATGTCGTAGCAACAACGGATTTCCTTCGGTGAACAGTCTGAGCGAAACTTTGCAATCAGTGCCGAAAGACCATGCACTTCCATTGCTTTCCCGCCATGTTGCTATGTTTCAGGCTTTCGCAAAGTGAGCAACACCTGGGTTCTTATGTCCGCATGTGTACATGTGGATGTTGTTTGTGGCCGGGGGAGTTTTTTTCCCCAACAGCTGAAAGCTTTGGGGTCTCAGCCCAGATAGGCTTCGGGGTGGTTTGGGGAGGCCCTGAGGTAAGGTTTCACGAGGGTTCCGCCAGGGTTCCACCAGGGTTCCACCAGAGTTCCACCAGGTTCTGCGAGGGCTGCGGGGTGGTCCGGGGTGGTTTGAGGTAAGGTTCCACAAGGATTTGAGAAGGGTTCCACAACGCTCTACAAGGTTTCACAAGGGTTCCACAAATGTACTGCAAGGTTTCGTGGTTTGCCCTGGAGGGAAGTAATGTGTCGTGCGCCCGCCGTTTGAAAAGCCATCGGAGCAGTAAATTGAGAGCTGAAAAGATCGCTTTGCTCATGGGCGGAACACTAAGCAAAACCGAAATCAATAGTTTATCAGCACACTTTCACTGTTTTGACTTGCTCACTTGGCTCAGACAACGCTGCCCGAAATGTTGGCTTTGTGGGAAATCAGATCGCGTTGCCGCGGGACTCGCTGTGCAGCAGATTAAATGCTTGGCATTGCTGAGTACTACTTGGTGGCTTTGGGTTCCAAGGGTTCCGTGAGACAAAGAACGCTCCACGAGGTTTCCACCAGGTTCTGCAAAAGCTATGAGGCAGCCCTGAGCAAAGGTCCCAACAAAGTTTCGCGCTGAGTTTCACGAGGGTTCCACGAGGACGGTTTGCGAGGTTCACCGGGCCCAGGTCGGGGCCCGATTGCGCCGTCGGGGCGCGATTGCGCCGTCGGGGCCCGGCCATCGCCTAGTTTTGCTAGACACAGCTGTAAGGCCGCATCCTAAGGAAAGCTGGCGTTGAGTTTTAATATGGGTGGCTGGGGTTGGTGGGAGCCCGCTTGCACCATAAGGCCCCGGTCGGGGCCCGTTGCGCCGTCGGGCCCTGCTCGGGTTGCTTTATAAGTTACAAGGTGGCGTCCTCAGCAAAACCGGCGGTGAGGTGTGTCTCGGGCGGGTTCCGCGAGGATTGTGGGAGGGTGTGGTGCTGTTGGGGATATTGCCTGAGCGTTTTTTTGGGGGGATTGGAGTCAGGTTTTCGATGCTTCTCTTCCAGCCATGTCGCCTCGCCTCAGAGCTTCCGTTTTGAGGCTCGCAGACCGGACACTGAGCCGCTGCGACGAATCACCCTCTCAGAGGGTGGCTAGCGACCTCGCCTCGGCTAGAACCATCTGTCAACAGATGGGATGTGCGTCTATGAGTGGGGGGCTTCGCCCAAAGTGGTGCCCTTCTGCTGCCCAAAGGGGGACACTTTTCACGCTTGTCTACCAGCAGAGGTCCAGAATAGAAGCCACTATTTATACTTCTAGGGACACGCGCACGCACACACACACACACACATACAAGTTAAACACACCTTCTTGCACTCTTGCATGACATGGCGCTTTTGATGTGTGTATATATATTTATTATGTGAGTAGTCATATGTATTTTTATATACACATATATACACATACATGATTCAGACGGGCGCACTGGCAGGCGCCATTTCGTGGAGCAGCGCCTTTTCTTGACCCATTAAACTAGTGCTCAATATTTCACTGCGAGTGTTCGGTCAAACGCGGTTGCACTGTGGCGTGGGTGCTTGCCAACGGGCTGCGCCTGTTCATTCAAACAGCTTTGCGCTGTGGGGCGGGTGCTTATCATCGTGCAGCGTGTGTTCAGTCAAACGTGTTTGCAATGTGGGGCGGGTGCTTATTATCGCGCTGCATGTGCTCAATCGAACGTGGTTGTACTGTGGCGTGGGTGCTTACCAACGGGCTGCGGCGGTTCAGTCAATCATGTTTGCACCGTGGCATGGGTGCTTACCATCGTGCTGCGTGTGCTCAATCAAACGTAGTTCCACTGTTGGGTGCTTCTCATCGCGCTGCGTGTGTTCAGTCAATCGTGTTTGCACCGTTGCGTGGGTGCTCACCATCGTGATGCGTGTGCTCAATCAAATGTAGTTCCACTGTGGGGGGGGTGCTCTCATTGCGCTGCCTGTGCTCAGCAAACGTAGTTGCACTGTGGCGCGGACGCTTACCATCGTGCTACGTTTGTTCAGTCAAACGTGATTGCACTGGCTTGGGATCATGCGGTGTGTGTGGTTGCACTGCGGTATACATGAACATGCGGCCTGCCATGAGAGAGCGTGGTGGACGAACCCCCCCAATTTCCCCTAAACACGTGGCTGCACGTGCTTGTATGAGATTATGATGAAGCATGGAAAACACTCGCGAAAGGGACCGTGCTTTTGTTCATGGCTGCTTGTGTCGTAGGATGGTGAGAAAGCTGGCAGGGTGCAGCGAAAACATCACTTCAGGGGAGCCTGTAAACGCACCCGTTAGTAAATACGCATTTTATACAAATCTACATTACCTTGCCAGCGTGCACTCTTTACACATATACCTACATACATACATGCAACTACATATTATACATATTCTGATACACATACATGTACACATACATATACGCATATATATATATACATACGTATAAACACACATACAGACCTACATATTAACATACAACATATGGATAACATATATCTATATATATGTATTGTACACAACACCAGACGACAAGTAAAGTATTTGACCCCCGAGTGCAAACTTTGTTTTCCGTTTTTTGCTTCTTCCGCAATTCATGTTTGTCGAGTGGGAATCCAAAGATCTCTGAAACGCCAAGAACATTGCAAGTGGGGTATGATTTTTCATGCGCTCGGCATGCTGGCCCCTGACAGTACTGGAGGACCCCCTCATCAAGTTATCCTGCAAACTATCAGACGAGGGGACAATTAGCACAGAATTGCAAAGAATGCAAACAAAAGCAAGCACATGCACAAAACACCATTCAATAGATTCAAAAGGGAACTCCTGCATCTCTGTACGGGGTCAAACAGGTGCAAAAAGGGTCAGAGCAGGCGGTATCAGGCGGTTTCTCAAGTAGCTTGGGAGATTAATCGAGGCGGGTTCCCCGTATAGGTGCAACTGAAATAAACACAGGAGCATACATTTTCCCCGCAAACTTCGCGCATCTCATAGTCCGCACTTGGATTGCGTGCTCACACGCATTGGGACGCGTTCGCCACTTGGTATTGCGCACTTATCGCACAAATATGCACAGATACGCGTTGACACATGCACAAATACACACACACACACATCGCAGATTATATGCACATACATAGACACGCCTGCCACAAAGCAAGCTAGAGTTCGTTCAGGCTTGTGTCTTGGGGCTGAACACATGCAACACCTTCTACATCAAGTTAAAAGAAGAAATCATCGGACAAGGGGACCTCGTGCCTGGTGCAAGTAACGGACTGGGGCGTGTGTGCAAGCAGACATGCATTCGGTCATTTCTCGATATTTCTCGCACTGTCACAGACGAGTGATGCCAATGCCTTTTGGCCTCTCGACCGTGATTAATGAGCAATGAAATAAAACTTGGATAAGCTTGGAGGGCAGGAACAACACAGTTTGACTCAACAGGGTGGCGTATTTCTTGAATTGATCCTTCATAAAACACGTTGCTATACTTTGTGGCCTTCAGGTTTTAAAGTTTCCATCAGCCTTTTGCTTGTTCGCCAACTTGAACGGTAGCACATCCAACTCAAAGTGCAAATGTGGAATGTGTACGTCTAGCCCTGCTAGCCAGTACAGCTTACTATGGCCTTGTGTGTTATGATGTTATGATCAATGGAGCCAGCGCAGACTACTTGGGCCTTGTGGTTATGTTCAATGGAACCGTGTCAGTGCCACTGTCAGAGGCAATCGTGGGGCCTGGCATCCCGTCGAAATTTAGTTGGAGATATCCATAACCTTGGGCCGTCTCCTTGGCAGCCTTTGGGTCATGCCGCTGCGCAACTCGTACGACGCGGGTGTTGGCCAGAAGCGGGTCGACATTCTGCAGGTCGACATGCTGCAGGCGCAGAGCGGGTGAAAGCGTGCATTCAGTGGAACTGTCTTAGAGCAACATAGCAACAAGAGCAAGCAGAGTGCCCTTTGCTGCCCACCCTGGAACTTCAAGCCGAAGGGTTTGAGCCTTTGATTTTACTGCGACTGCAAAAGGGCCTGGAGCGCGCCGGCGTTGAAAGCTTTGTTAAACAAAAAATAACTTTTCCTACTCATTTGAAATTTTAGCCTAACCCTAAAATATGCGAGCTCAACTCACTCAAATAATCTCATTTTTTGGACAAGTTTCAGGACCCGCCAAAGGCGTTGAGCAGCCGTGCTACAAACTTGACTTGTGCATCACCCCTGATGGATGACATGCCAACAAATTTCATTGGTCTCAAGCAGCGGATGTTGTTGATTCACTTTCTGAGCATGCCTGCCGTTGATGAATAGGCTCCCTCTACTTTACAACGCGAGTCGTAACACGAGTATCTTGGTCGGCCTTCTGCTCTTTTGATTTCTGCTTCAAGTTGGGTTGCGAGATGCTGCGGGCCTTGTGGCGTGTTTGCGTGTGCTGTGGCATGTCACTCGCAGCTGTCAGCTTCACTTTGGCTCGGCCATCTCTGCTGCATCAAACATGCAACTCGGCAAATTTGGGCGAGGGGCGCGTGTAGCTGACAGACATCTAGGGCTCTACCGTTTTGGGCACAACATGTGCTCCTACGCTGCGGCGGTAGGCGCATCGGGAATCGCCAGAATCGTGGCCGGCCCGTGATTCGTTGGTCTTGGGTGCTTCCCAAATCGGAAACGGCCCCATGTCCTTT